AGTCATGAGGGAAAAAAAAAAACACTGCAAAGTCAACTAAAACTATTTCCTTTTATGCATCTATTTGCACTTTAATGAAATAATCTGCAAAAGGAATAGGATTTTTCTACTTAAGAATATAAAACATATATATATATTACCTTATTTCAAGTGCATTATATATAATTATCTGCTTTAAATATCCTTATTCGCAAAATATACAGACTGTGTAATGATTTGTATCTAAGATATACACTATATTGCCAAAAGTATTTGCTCACCCATCCAAATTATTGGAATCAGGTGTTCCAATCACTTCCATGGCCACAGGTGTATAAATTCAAGCACCTAGGCATGCAGACTGTTTTTACAAACATTTGTGAAAGAATGGGTCGCTCTCAGGAGCTCAGTGAATTCCAGCGTGGAACTGTGATAGGATGCCACCTGTGCAACAAATCCAGTCGTGAAATTTCCTCGCTCCTAAATATTCCACAGTCAACTGTCAGCTGTATTATAAGAAAATGGAAGTGTTTGGGAACGACAGCAACTCAGCCACGAAGAGGTAGGCCACGTAAACTGACGGAGCGGGGTCAGCGGATGCTGACGCGCATAGTGCGAAGAGGTCGCCAACTTTCTGCAGAGTCAATCACTACAGACCTCCAAACTTCATGTGGCCTTCAGATTAGCTCAAGAACAGTGCGCAGAGAGCTTCATGGAATGGGTTTCCATGGTCGAGCAGCTGCATCCAAGCCATACATCACCAAGTGCAATGCAAAGCGTCGGATGCGGTGGTGTAAAGCACGCCGCCACTGGACTCTAGAGCAGTGGAGACGCGTTCTCTGGAGTGACGAATCGCGCTTCTCCATCTGGCAATCTGATGGACGGGTCTGGGTTTGGCGGTTGCCAGGAGAACGGTACTTGTCTGACTGCATTGTGCCAAGTGTAAAGTTTGGTGCAGGGGGGATTATGGTGTGGGGTTGTTTTTCAGGAGCTGGGCTTGGCCCCTTAGTTCCAGTGAAAGGAACTCTGAATGCTTCAGCATACCAAGACATTTTGGACAATTCCATGCTCCCAACTTTGTGGGAACAGTTTGGAGCTGGCCCCTTCCTCTTCCAACATGACTGTGCACCAGTGCACAAAGCAAGGTCCATAAAGACATGGATGACAGAGTCTGGTGTGGATGAACTTGACTGGCCTGCACAGAGTCCTGACCTCAACCCGATAGAACACCTTTGGGATGAATTAGAGCGGAGACTGAGAGCCAGGCCTTCTCGTCCAACATCAGTGTGCGACCTCACAAATGCGCTTCTGGAAGAATGGTCAAAAATTCCCATAAACACACTCCTAAACCTTGTGGACAGCCTTCCCAGAAGAGTTGAAGCTGTTCTAGCTGCAAAGGGTGGACCGACGTCATATTGAACCCTATGGATTAGGAACGGGATGTCACTTAAGCTCATATGTGAGTCAAGGCAGGTGAGCAAATACTTTTGGCAATATAGTGTATGTGCAGATGAGCCGGTGCTCACTGGTGTCAGTGTGTGGTTTTTTGGGTAAGCAGTAAGACCCACACTGCAAAAACAATCCAGAAATAAGTAAAAATATTCTTAAATTAAGTATATTTAGCCTTAATTTGAGCAGAAAAACAAGATGATCTGCCATTGGAATGAGTATTTTTACTCTTAAAATAAGATAGTTAGATAATATTTACTTGAAATAAGACGATAAAATAATTTTTTCTTATTTTAAAAGGAAATTGTCTTGTTCCATTGGCAAAGTGTCTTACTTATCTCCTCAATTCAAGGAAAAACGCACTTATTTTAAGAAAAAAATAAGTTATTGAGATTTCTATTTTTTGCAGTGCAGAGAGCTGCAGACGTTCAAAAACAACAAACCACAATATTATCAAAATAGATTTTATTCTAGACCTTAAAGGAATAGTACACCCAAAACATGATTAGCCTTCATTTTCTACTCACCCCCATGCTGAACAACACTCTGGAGTACTTTTTTGATATCTCAAATGCATCTGGAGATCTGGGAGGCTTCTTGCTGTCTGCTGACATTCAAATAATGGAGGTCTATGGTGCCCGAGGCAGAAAGGTCCATAAAAGTCCACAAAAAACGTGTCAATATTCCTCCATACTGCTCGTCCAATGTATTCCAAGTGTCCTGAGTGGGTAGCATCCAGAATTTACTCGAAACGAAGTCATTTAGAATGTTTTTAGAGCATAAACAGTAGTGTACAGGATTTCCTGAAAGCGCGCGCCAGCGCGTTCAGGACGCTACGGAAGCCGGCAGACCGAACCAGATGAAAGTGCGCATTCAGCGTCTGCTCTGCCGATAATGCAAGCATAGAAGAAGAAATGTGCTGTTTACCTGTGCAAAGAAAGAAACAACGAAAGAAAAATGTCTGAGGACTTCAGTGTTGAGGAAGAGCATGAGTTCTTTGCCGAGCTGAATGCGCTGGTTTGGTCTGCCGGCTTCCGTAGCGTCGTGAACGCGCATGTGCGCGCTTTCAGGAAATCCTATACACTACTGTTTATGCTCTAAAAACATTCTAAATGACTTCGTTTCGAGTAAATTCTGGATGCTACCCACTCAGGACACTTGGAATACATTGGACGAGCAGTATGGAGGAATATTGACACGTTTTTTGTGGACTTTTATGGACCTTTCTGCCTCGGTCACCATAGACCTCCATTATTTGAATGTCAGCAGACAGCAAGAAGCCTCCCAGATCTCCAGATGCATTTGAGATATCAAAAAAGTACTCCAGAGTGTTGTTCAGCATGGGGGTGAGTAGAAAATGAAGGCTAATCATGTTTTGGGTGTACTATTCCTTTAAGATCTTAGTGATTATAGCAACAGTCAAAAGTCAGGAGGCTGCAACCGTGACAAAGTACAATGTAGGACTGAAAACCGGTATTTACATGTTCTGTTGTAACACACCAACAGTTTGATTTAGACACATTTTTTATTTTCTATTTTGAGGACTTTGTTACAAACAAATCAAAAATTACAAAATGTTTTTCGATAAGTACAAAAATCTTCAAGGGCCGACAGAGTACAGTCAGGATCTTACGTTGGTATTTTTTGCCGTCACAAATAAAACCAGCATTAAACGCTGTGGTTGGCGGCAGTGGTGTTTGGATTTACCAAAGCAGATCCTATAAATAAATCCCCAGTTCAGCTCGAAACATTTCTGAAAGGATCTGTAACAAGTCAGCTGATAGGTGTTGATCCACAACCACCTCCACTCAGTTGATGGAGTAGGAAATGATGCTGAACGATGGACCCCAAAACAAATATGGTCCTTTATATCAGGCATCCCCAAAGTCGCTCCTCGAGGGCCGCTGTCCTGCAGGTTTTAGAGGTTTCCTTCCTCCAGCTGATTTCAAATTAAAGCTGATTGTTCAACTGCAATCATCATAACCATCCGTGCTAAAGCAGCGAAACCTCTAAAACCTGCAGGACAGCCGCCCTCGAGGACCGACTGCTTTATACGATCATTTATAACGGGTTGAATCAACACCTCCAGATTTCATTTACCCATTTTAGACTAAAGTGCAAACAAAATAAAAATAATAAAGCCTGCTAGTTGGTATGCAGCTATGACTGCTTATTTGTGTTTTATAGGATGTTTTCAGTGACACACAGTAACCACAGTTCCTACGCTGCATGTTTGCTTTATAAAAAGCAGACTTATCTCCGAATGCAAATTCTTAACACTACAAACAAAGCACCATCTATCACAGCGCACTGGCGCGTGGACGGCCTGCGTCAAGTGCGTTTCAGTTACCAAACAGAAAGGGTTGAACTTGCGTTTAGGTCAGAAACAAAACGGGAGGCAACAGGTGCTGCCCAGGCCGTCAGAAGTTGTTCTTTCAAAGAAAGGTTGAAGCAAAACCGTCTGATTATCGTTCAGATACCAGAGAAAACAAAAACAATTAGAGCTACCAGACACAGACGGCTTTGCCGTGGAACCGCACATGGCAGTAGGGTTCCGGTTCCCCTTTAAGGGAAGCTGGATCACCAACCTGACCATCTGTTGTCCCGGCAACAGATCAGCGATTCTCGCTTTACGTCTCAAATATTCTAATACGCGATCTGATTATTGTCTCATTAAGCACTTTGCAGAAGTAGTCGTGACTTTTGAAATTCCCACAACCTGTCAAGCTAATCCATGTGTCTGATCAGGTTTTTAAAACGACATTTCAACATAAACTGTAGCTTCAAGCAAATGGGAAAAGCCTCATTTACTCCAACGCCCTCAAAATAAAATTCAAAACAACCAATCAGTTTTAAAATGAACCTGATTAGTGATCAGAATTGGTTGGTAGGTAAACATGAGGGCAACATACAGATCAGCCTGAATGAAACACGGTGGTGGCAGTATCATGGAACATAGAAGGTGCTGAGACGTGTTGAGAAGATGGAACGATGGAACTTATGAAAACTTGGGCTGACCTCAGGAACGGCTCAGTCATGTTTTATAGATTTTCTTTTTTCTAAAAATTATTTTCTTTTCTTTTGTCAATTTTCTTTTATTAGACTGGGTCTCACAAATCACATTGCTTTCAAATTGTATTTTACTACGGAAGAGGATTAGGGCCTCTGAAAAAATAAAAAAAGTTAACTGGTTTTTCTAATTTTATTTCAGTTTAATATGGAAAAAAAGTCAGAAATCTGACTTTTTGCCCATATTAAACTGAAATTAAATTTTAATTTTAACTTTTTTTTTTTTCAGTGGCCCTAATTCTCCTTCCGTATTTTGCCCAAACCAATAAAAATACGTCTTTGCTTTTCACTGCAGAGGAAAGCCGAGGAGAACCTGATCAAATGCTGTTTAATATGAATGCATCGGTAAAAAAAAATAAAAACTCAGGAATAAAATATAAAATTAGTAAAACTCTGGAAAATAGGAACTGGGAAAAAATACAATTTGAGATTATTAAGAAGATAAAAGAATAAGAAAATTGTTACATTTCCATTTACAGAATGTGTTTTCTTTCATTTTTTTAATTTCCATTTACACGTTCCCTGCCTGCAACAATAATGGAACAAAATTCACTCCATATAACCACTGGTCTTAGACAGAACCAGAAAACGAATGTTATTTACTTTAATTCAAGAAATCAAATAGAAATCAATAAATCTCGAAATGAGAAGAAATGAATGACCGTCTGAATCTCCTCTCTTTCCTCCTGCTTACTTTTCATCAAACAAATCCAGTAAAGATCCAAATTCAGCTCTATGCAGCTCAGCAAATCTGATGGGTATAATATGCACAAACCAACAGGGAACAATAAAACTGTTCGATATATGAAAATGCAAAAATCAAACAAACAGAAAGACCCTGGAGATTTGGATGCTGTGGGGTCCAAATGATCAGAGATAGATTCCTCCAATCCATGCACTCTGGACCTGTTATGTGTGTCTGATGACCGACGTCTAACGGTGTGAGAGACGGCGAGCCCGCGATGTGGTCCGTGCTCCGGCCGTAGAATCCCATACGGCTACAGCAGTGTGGCCGACAGACGGCGACAGTCTTTTTGGCTATGTACACATTCCTAGTCGGTCCATAGCTTCTTCCCCCACGCAAGTATCATTTTCGCAAGTCTAGAACACAAACCTGCAAAACAGAAAGCCATAAAAGGTTAAAGAGGTTTCTGCTCAGCCGTCGCAGCCCAGCATCAACAGGAAACCAGTTGTTATGGGAAAACACTGAGATGCACAGTCATACAAAAAACTATCGGAAACCACAGACATGAGGGAACCCACAGACTGATTGCTTTTAGTGAGCTGATGGCTGGGGGTCTCGTTAGCGTCCCCCTTGAGGCTCCCTGGAGCTTTTTCAAAAATGTATGAAAATCGATTTCTTTTTTTATATATTAAATTAATTCTGTTTTCCAATGCTGTAAACATTTGTATAGTAAATAAATTGAAACAATAGTTTGAGTCATAGTAGTAGAGCTCTGTGGTCATAACTTGGAACCAGCACGGCGCGGTGCCAGGCTAACAAAAGCTGCATGTGTGTCTCGGACCGTGACTCTCAAAGGGAAAAGATGAGAAAAGATGATTCAAATAGAGCGAACCGTTTTCTTTCATTATTGATGCCAAAGGATTGCCTGCATTTCTGCTTTGTAATGAGAGGTTAGCAAAAAACAAAAATAAAAATGTGGAAAGGCATTTCCAGGGACGACTAAATATGCAGCCGGCCACCAAGCTGGGAGGGAGAGAAAACTTCTGGATAAATTAAGGAGCACAAAGATAGGATTGCATCTCCAAACTCCACTACTGCTGCTAGTTTTGTTGAAAGGATGGAAAAGCGTCTACAGATCAAACATGTAGCTCTCTGATGCAGGTATGTGAACTTTCTTCCATTTTTTTCCCCCAATCCTAAAAATATAAATCACATCCAGGATCGATGGTGACGGAGGATGTGGGTTTTCTGGGTTAGAGAGCACAGCTCTGATGGGTGTCAGTTCCTGCTTGGTTCCTCATGACTCAATAATCTCCTCCCAACAGAAACACGTCCACCAGAGAGATTCCTTTATTGTGTTTCTATAATTTCACCAATGAAACCAAACTTAAAACGTACGTTGAGACAGCTGCTCGTCCCTCACCTCATGCTACTATGTAACATTTGCTCCAGGATAAACATTTAATCATGAATGCTTATTATATATTTAAGCCCACATAGTCCCTTTCTATAGTGGGATAATAAACTTAAAGCCCATGTTGCCATATGAGGCATATATAAGACTTTTACATTTTTGCGGCTCCAGACAGATTTATTTTTTGTTTTTTGGTCCAATCTCTGAGCAGTTTACTGATTTTTTTTAACAACGAATTTTAAACACTGAATTTTTTTAGACATTGAATTCCTTACACTCAATTTTTATCTGGTAAAAATCTGGTAAAAGTTCAGCTGAAAAAAAATCAGCTGCAAAAAAATTCTGCTGCAAAAAGTTCTACAAAACAGACACTGGAGCAAGGCAGACAATGAGCTACAACCGCAGTTTCTTGAAAGCGAGTCTCCTATAGCGCTGGGAGAATTTTGGACTTTGGACACTATGGGGAGCTCATTGCTCCAAAATTGTGCATGAGGAGCGAGCTCTGCAAGTTGCAAAATAATCAGAGAGAAATGTTCAAAAGCGTCACCAAGGAGAGGTGGATTATTATCACATGTATTGGATTCGAAAATAATCCTTTACTGAGGAATTTCCAAAAGCCTAAATTACAAATGACACCTATTTTATTATTAGAATAAGTATAAAATGAGCAATGACTACACTATAGATCATTGCACTGCCTCCACACAGATAACTTCATCTGGGTCATACTACAAGTCTTACTTTGGGAAAATGTGCTAAACTAAATTTTTTAGAATTTTCATGTTTTCAGTCATAGAAGCGTAGATACAGATGAATCAGTGGAGGAAGCTGAAAATTAGGGTGATGACAATGAGGCCTTCCAAAGTCAAAGACTTGGAGCTCAGAGAAATCATCAAGGCTCAGCTATTAAAAGAAGTATTTGGCTGCTAAATCCAGTAAAGATGTTTCCACTGATTATTGAGAGTAAAACAAATGATTATCAGCCATCTTTTAATACGAAAATAAAGGGTGAAAACCACAAAACATGTTTATTTTGAACTGCTGCTCTCTTTTTCTGAAACCCTTTTCACACCTCTCCAGGTCTGTCAAAGACTCTAGTCGAAGCGCTGATGTGTTTAAGCATGTAAAAATAGGTGTTGAAACCTTTTCGGAGAATTAATGTCTCGTACTAAACGCTATTTCTGACATTTTGAATTGAAAAAGCTTCCTGGATGGGACGTGAAACGTCTTTGAACTTGGAAACAAAGTCCAGGGGATTGATTTTCAACTTTTTTGGAATGACTTTCCTACAAACTGGAAAAAAATCCAGTTGCCTTTGATTTAAAGTCGTAGGGAAGCGGCTGTTCCCATTTCCGAATTCTCCCGGGGGGCGGGATTGTTGTGGCGGAAGGTTGCAAGCAAGTTTCATTGTGGCCGGTGTCTCTGAAGCATCTAGCTAACCAGTTAGCAGCTTAGTGCTAGCAGGTTCCCAATGGGAAATTCCATTGGGACCAAGTAGCACTAATTGGTAACTTAGAAACGACACTGTCAAGGAACGCTATGGACAGCGGAAACATGCAAGAGGAGGAGAGTTTAGGGTCGGAGGTCGTGGATGAGTCTCCTCCGTCATCCATGTTTTATTTAGAGGAGGAAAGCGGGGACGAAGATGTTGCGGAAGAGGACGCCAGGGCGGCAGAAGCTTGGTTTGGTGTAGAAGGCTTCCAGCCGTACATGTTTGAGCCCTTGCCTCGCAACGCTGCCAGTTCTGTTAGCTCTACGCCTGCCGAAGACACAGACGTCCATCCCCGTGAACACTGGGACGCAACTCAATGGGAAAGGAAAGGATTCTGATTTCTTATTTCAACCGTTGCGTATATTAGCTGCGACATATGAATCAAGATGCTATAAGCGAAAAAATTTGATTGACAGATTACCGTTGATATATGATTGGCCGAATTTAGGTGTTCAGGCTGACGTAGAACTAACTGGCCTGCATAAAATAATGAAAAAAAAAATGCAGATTTTAAGACAGGATTTTTTTTTCTTAAATAGAAATTCTCTAAATTTTGGGACAATATGATCTGATAAAGAGTAGATTTATATACATGTTTAGGCCAGAATGATTTGAAATCTAAATAACATCCAGGTCATAGTCATTCCAAAAAAAAGAAAACGTTGTTTCCAAGTTTGAAGACGTTTTTCTTCCCAAACAAGAAGTTTTTTTTAATTCAAAATGTCAGAAACAGCGTTGAGTTCGAGGCTTCACAGAGTGGAACAAAAACAAAGCCTGGTTTTTGTTTAAAAAAAAAAAATACAAATTGAAACAGACGAACGGGTCGGCCCCTTTGGAATGGGGGTCGTTTGGCTTCTTTTGTTAGCCTGCAATGCCCCATACCTGTCTATGGCCCTGTCCACATGAAGTCAAAACGAACACAAAACGCTAATATTTTCCAGAACGTTTGTCGTAAAGACGGAGACGTAAAATAAATGTGATCGTCCACACGAATGCATGAAAACGCTGCAAAATGTATGCCAGGCCTGTAAGTGGCGCTGTGGTGCCAAAGCAAAAATAGGCGACGAAATGTTGGGCATGCGCACTAATATTTATACATGGTTGCCCTGCGGGTCCATTTCGTGGTTAAGTCAAATTCAGGTGCTGAACTATGTGGTCGATATTGCTCTGTTCTTCCTGGAGATATTCCAGAAGAAGAAGATTCTGTTGTAAGCCCGACAGCAGGGTGAGTAGCATGAGCAGCAACCATTCAACACAGTACGGCGCCATTGTTGTTGTGATACTGTGTCGCGCATGCGTGTTTAGAGGCGACGCTATGACGCATGCGTGTAAAAAAAAAATGCGGTTAGAGCTTAAAGATAAACGCGAAAACGGCGTTTCAAAATCTTCCCACTCTGAATGCTGAATAAAAAAAAGATTGTTTACAGACCCCCGAAACGCCGGCTTCGTATGGATGAGAGGCTGGTTTGGGGAAAAATTTGTGCGTTTAGGCCAGGGTTTGACTTCGTGTGGACGGGGCCTATGTCTCTGAAAGGGGGGGTCATTAAAGGGAATTGTTTTAACTCTGCAAGGTTATGAATAATCCTGATCCTGGATCAGTTCTGTTTGGCTTCAACATCTTCCTAATAGAATCTACGCATAGCTTTCCTGGTACACATGACTTCATTCAGTAAATGGAGACAAACATTGCTAATGGAGATGAGGTTTTTTTTTCCATTAAGCGCTCTATAAATGATCACATTATAAATGGATTTATAAACTGCTCAGGAAGCAGTTGTAGAAGGAAAGACCAACAGGGGAAAGCAAGCTGCCGGTGGGATCCCACTTTATGGCATTCACTTCATTCTACAGTTGGAACCATTAAAACAAAAAGAAAAAGAAGATATGACAAGCTTACACTCTTAGTTTTGTGTTTTAATACAATTATTACAATCTATAGATTGAGCTAAGCAATGAGTTCTTTCCTACCCACAGAAAGGGGGGTCACATTGTAGCATCGGCCTTGTTTGCAATGATGGGTCTATTACAGGTTTGCTCAGACAATAGCTGCTATTTTGGCCCATTCCTCCATAGATCTCCTCTACAGCTGTAATTTATTGGGTTTGTTGATGGAAAACACACACTTCCACCCCCTCTACTAATTTTCCATGGGGTTGAGTATGGAGGACCAATCCTGCCATAATTAAAAATAAATACATAAATAAATAGATGCTCAATAAATAAATAAGCATACAATGAATTGCCCCCAAAATACAATAAATAAATGTAGGTAGAAATTCAATTATACAGTGAGACATAAATGTATATATATCTCTTTTAATTAGCTTTTTTATTTACTCGCTTTTGTAATAATTAACTTATAATTAATTGCCTCATAATTACTTTATTAATTTGCATGAGGCTGAAATGCAGACAGAAATGTAAATACGACAGGCAGAAATAAATAGAACGGAAGAAATAAATAGGGTTAAAAAAATTAGGGATGCACGATATTGGGATTTTGGCCGATATCCGATATGCCGATATTTTAAAACTCATGTAGCCGATAACCGATATTGATACCGATGTTAAAGCTGAACAAAAATAAGTAGTCATTGAAAATAACAGTTTTGTTATCCATTTCTGACACTTTGAAAAATAATATACTCAAATATATTTTCATATGCTGATATCAAATAGATTTTTAAAAACGCGGTATCGATCTATTTTACTTTCAAAATCTTGTGAAATTTTTCATCATTCTGTTACAAACTCTCGTGATATTTTGCAAATTCCTGTGAGATTTTGTTAGTAAAATAGATCGATACCGCGTCAATATATCAACATATAAAAATATGGCAAAATTTTGTGAATTTTCGGGGGATTTCGTAGCATAACGATGACATATAGCAATATTTCATTAGTAAAAGAGATTGATATGGTGTTTTTAAATGGCAATATATCAGCATAGGAAGATATTGGGATATTTTAATGTATCAATATTTTTTCCCTCGTCTTTAGAAGTTTTTAAGTCTGTAAAAAAGAAGTTTTTGAGGAAGAAGAAGTAGTAGCATTTTTTTCTTTTTTTTTAGACTTTAGAAACTCAGAAGCTGATCAAATATCGGGTTAAATATCGGTGGGGTGGCCGATGTCTGATATTCAGTTTTAAGTGCCGATAACAATAGGGGGCCGATTATATCGTGCATCCCTAAAAAAAATGCAAATAAAGGATAATGCAGACAAAAATATTATACCATCCACATAAGTAAATACTTAAAAAATAAGTAATAAATAGATAAAGTTGAAGATTATTACAGATGATAAATAAACAAGGTAATTATTACAAAGGTTAAAAAAGAAAGAAGCTAATTATAAGAGATATACATTTATGGGTCACTTAATTTAGTGTGACATTTATGGGTTAATCATAATGTATTATTTCTAACAGTATCTATAGCAGTGATGTCTCCTCTCCTTCATGCACTGGTGGCTCCATCTAGTTTCCATGACTGGTACTGCAGCGTTTCAATAATCTAATGCAAGTTTAGGCCTGCTTCATGTTTTCCTCTCAGCTGTTTGGGCCCAGAATCATAAAAGAAAACCTCCCAGCACTGCAGGCTGAGAACCAGGAGTGAGTATGAGCCAGAATTGAAGCAGAGACATCATTCAGACATCGTATTAAATTCTACCTACATCCAACGCTTAAAACACAAACCGGAAAACTCACCGATCCATCTGATGCGCTGGCTCCTACTCTGTCGCCTGTGGCGTTCCAGCAAACCTCAAAGATCCCACCCGTCCCTCTGTAGCTGTGGACTAAAGCCCCCGTCTGCGACACACACAGAAAAATAAAAACACACTCTAAGAAGACTGACTGTTGTGATCATTTTCTCCCACTAAAGGGTTTGGTCTACCATGTGTGAGTAGAGTAGTATTTTTCTCCAACCTGTGTGTTCCAGATGTGGACGCACTTGTCGAAGGAGCCGCTGGCGAGGTGCTTGCCGTCGGGACTGAAGGCCACGCTGTAAACGGGCTCTTGGTGACGGGTCAGAGTGTGAATACAAACTCCACGCTCAACGTCCCACAGACGCACAGTCGAGTCAAATGAAGCACTTTAAAAGGAGGAACAGTGGATAAGGCGTCAGGGCAGGGTTATGAATGTGGAGCTGTAAGTTTGGAAACTGTGTGTTATTGAGCAGAGTGGAACAGCGGAGGCGTGCTTGGCCCATAACCCGGGGGCTGATGGATTGCTATACTTTTGGGGGAGTGTTGCCTCAGTGGTTAGATCCCCACAGCTAGGGTGACCAAACGTCCGTATTTCCCAGGACATGTCCGTATTTCACGTCTGGTCCCGGGTTTTTTTTAGAAAGTGAGGAAATGTCATGATTTTTTAAATCACCTTAATTGGACCATTAAATTTACAGGCACTAGGGCACTGCGCACGACGCTGCGTGTGACGTAATCCCTGAGCCGCGTCAGTCCGGGCAGCCCTGTTCTTAATCAGAATATAGATAGCGTGGCTGTCAGTACGCCAACAACATGCCAAAGCGCAAATGTATGTTTACCGACGATTTATGAAAGAGTTTCCCCGCTTTCAGACCGGATCGAAACAAATGGGAGGCCTTGTGCACATATGTCTCTGTGTCCAATGGAGGTGCAAGGGATCTGAAAAGCCACCTGGACACCGAAAGTAAAGATAGTCTATTGATATGTTTGTTCGTTTTTGGTACATTTTTTATAATTTTTGCTACACAAGAGGTATTTTTTGTTAATTAGCTCATTTGTTAATTTATTTTTTCCAATAGCCTACAGAACAGACATTATTTTGTTAATTGCTGAGGCTGAGTATCATCTGTTATTGGGAGTTGAGAGTTATTGTTAACTTTTATTGTTAAGTGAGGGATGTTTAGATGAGACATTATTTCTTTCATTATACTTTTCATTCACTACAGGAATTGTTAAGCATTTTTAATAAATAAATTTTGAATGAAATTATCGCTTGTTATTGGAGTTATTGCTGTTGACTTTTACTGAAAAGCATTTTTTAATAAATCAACTTTAAATATCATATTATTGTAGGATTAAGTAGGCCTATGTTAAATGAGTGCATGCCACAGACATCTCTATGCATGGGAACAGAGATCCCATAGAAAATAAATATGAAAAAATACACGCGAAAAATTATAAATTGAAAAAAAAAACTGAAAAGATAAAGGCTGTGTCCGAACGTCAGCCTAATTACTATATAGTGGTTATGCCTGTCACTTGGTTGATGTTTGTGGACCCAAATGCAGAGGCAGAGAGGCTGAGGTTATATCTTGTAGTTTTAATGATGAACAGCTAAAAAAGGCAGGAACTAAAAATGTAACACAGACTAGAACCATGGAGACATCAGGGGAAAACACGCACAAGAAGCCAGGGAGAGATGAGGTGAGCAGAGAACAGCGATGACAGGACCAGCAACAACAAGGAACCAACAACGAGTGACAGCAGAGGGAGAGTATATGTAGCTGACTGAGACAAAGGCAGGGTTAACGAGCTGACAAGGAGCAGGTGTGAGGAGACAACGAGGGAGCCAAGGTGAACTGAACACACACAAGAGGGCAACAGAGGAAAACAGAAAAACCTGAGAACTAACATAAATCTAGAAACTACAACAAAATAGGAATTAAACCAATAAAACTAGAAAACATGGAGCAAAGTAAAGCACAACAGAACCAAAACCATGACAATGCCATTTTAGATGTGTCCAAACCTCTATTGAATGAAAAAGTAGTGGACTTAAAATTTCCCACAATGCACCTTGAAAAGTAGCGTTCATCCATGGTCACCGGACGTGCAGATATATCCTGGAATGCTTTTATCGCAAAGCATTATGGGATTTGTTGTTGTGATGATACATAACAAAGATGGCACAGTCACCGTGCGGGGAGGTGGAGTCACATGACAAGTGGAGGAGCGTAAAGTAGTGATTATCTGTCCGAATGGTCAGTTAACTAAGTTCACTATAAAGTCCCCACTCTATATAGTGATTGAGGGGTTTAGGGGATAGGGAGAACGTTCGGACACATTGAAATATTAGAAAATATGTAATCTAAAGAACTATTTTAAAGACTATTTTTATTAAGAATAGGGATGGAACGGTTTTTGAAAACCGTCCGCACTGTTCGGTTCGACTGTCTCGGTTCGGTTCGCGTGTGTTTCGTTCAGTTCATGCGCTGCTTCTTTTTCTCATAGGCGAAGCGTTTACACTCCAGAGCAGAAGGTGGCGGTACTGCGACCAAAGCCAACCACCAGTAGTAAACAAGAAGAAGAAGAAGCGAAGCAGCGTAGCCGGGTGTAGCAGAAAAAAATCAGTTGTTGTGGAGAATTGTGTGGGTATGGCGAGTGGGAAAGAACAGGAGTTGGAAGACGCGCCAGCAGCACTTTATAGGTCTGCTGTATGGGACCACTTTGCATTTAGAGTGACCTACGATGACGGCGGAAAGAAAGTTGTGGATAAAAGTGCAACAGTGTGCAAGCATTGTGCAACACGTTTTGTTTATGCTAACAGCAACATGACCAACATGTCATGCTAACCCCGAAATCCCACATACTCCGTCAGCGCTCCGCCCCGCTGCGCTTCAGACCGCCTGCACAAAGCAAAGCCTACAGCCTCAACTGTGTCTCCCGTCCGCTCTGAGTTCCTTGGAGATGGTAGAGAGCATGCGCGAGATGATTAAATTCAAAGCAGCAAAACATGCGGAAATGATCCAGGGCTTCCGCAAATCATTAAAAATAATTACAATTCATTAATTTTTTTGGATTTTTTTCATTAATTTCAAAAAATTTTATTTTTCATAAATTTTTATAATTTTTTATTATTTTTCGGTGTAACAATAAACATATACCGAACCGTAAAACCGTGACCACGAAACCGTGAACCGAACCGAACCGTGGATTTTGTGAACCGTTCCACCCCTAATTAAGAACTTTTCAAAGTTTTATTTTTGGATTGATTTTTTATTGTTCAAATTTTCATTTACAAGCATGCTTTTTTTTTTTTTTCCAATTACATAACATGTTTTTTCCTTGCAACAACAATAATACAAAATTCACTCCATAAATTGAGCTAAGACGTTAATAATTTGTCTATAAACTGTTTTTAATTTAGATGAATCATTTAGTTGGCTTATTTGTAGCTATTTTCTTTGATGGGTGTTTTGTATTTAGTTAGCCAGATAGCTGTCGGGCATAGGCGTTATCTGCAAAGGGAATTATTGTATCCCATAAATTCTAACCTTGGATAAAGCGAGAGCTTCCTTTTATAAGATTGTGATCTGCTGCCTCTAGAGGTCAGTGCCATTTGAAGTTAATGTTTGGATTATACAGTAGCATTTACAGTAATGTTGGTTTATGAGCAAACTGCTATAACTAACACTTCCTACTGGATAAGCAAAGCAAAGTCCAGGTTGAACACAAGATGCTCGTAAATTCAGTTAATGATTGTTTTTGTTAAATCACAACATTAAATGCTAGATGATCACTACTTCCTAGTGGAGCTCAAAGATCTATTTGTTGTAGAAGAAATGCTTATAATCAGGGCTACAAATCCATTAATCGGTCAATTTAATTTTTTCAATTAATTGATTAATAATCGGATAGAAAAATGTTCCTTAAAGAAGACTTTTTACAAAATGAAACCAGGTGAAACTCTGAACTGAATAGAGCAGATTTACAGATTAATTTTTTTTTAACCTTAAATGCAAAATATTTCTATATTTTTTTACAAACTTGGCATAATTACTCCTTTAAGTCGGTTGCTTTGTCAGCTAAAGTCTCCATACTCCACTTAACGATTAATAAATTACTAAATTAGTTGAATATTATTCCGATTAATTGTTTTAGCCCCAGATTATTACTGAAGCAGTTTTTCCAATGTTCATAACAGAAATAGATGAAGTTCTTTCTGCATCCATGTCTCCATTGTTAGGTTTATTATTTATACATCGTGTGCGTTGTTATTCTGTTAGCCAGATTAGACAGAGTAGAAGGCCTTCCTTCACATTGTGGATGTTACTGTGTGTACGGAGGTCATCTAATCAGGACAGCCTTTAATAAAACACAGGATATGGGCACATCTTGGAGCCGGTCTGATAGAGGAGAGCTATCTGTAACCCTGAAGCATAGAAGCAAGCTGCATGAAGTTCAAGACATGGATGGCGTGTCAGTTTCTGATACGGACAGCTAAACATCAACATGATGCAACACATAGACTCATGAGCTATAAGAAGCAGGAGTTGACCTTTTTCGGGGCTCAATCTTTGCCGGACGCTCGCGGACGTGATTTTTGAGCCCACAGCTGTGCAAACTCCAAGCAATTTTTCTGTCCTATAACGACCTGATCTGGAATAAACTCTGTTACTTTTTTACTCCTGTTTTATAGTCCTTTTTATTTGGTTTTACCCAGTTTGAATTAAGAGTAGTAAATAACTTGCTCCCAGGAAAAGAACCGTGAGGAAGCCCCCAAGGCGCAACGGCTTTTTTAGGGGACATAACTTCCTCATTTTAACACCATCAAACAGTGGAAATAATACCGACCAAAGTCTGGATCCATTTATGTTTCTGCTCTAGCATGACTCCACTCTGACATTAGTTAAATTCCAGTGAGGATTTGCTTAAAGGAATAGTACACCCAAAACATGATTAGCCTTCATTTTCTACTCACCCCCATGCTGAACAACACTCTGGAGTACTTTTTTGATATCTCAAATGCATCTGGAGATCTGGGAGGCTTCTTGCTGTCTGCTGACATTCAAATAATGGAGGTCTATGGCGCCCAAGACAGAAAGGTCCATAAAAGTCCACAAAAAACGTGTCAATATTCCTCCATACTGCTCGTCCAATGTATTCCAAGTGTCCTGAGTGGGTAGCATCCAGAATTTACTCGAAACGAAGTCATTTAGAATGTTTTTAGAGCATAAACAGTAGTGTATAGGATTTCCTAAAAGCGCGTTCACGAGTCTACGGAAACCGCGGCAGACCAAACCAGACGAAAGTGCGAAACTGGAATACATTGGACGAGCAGTATGGAGGAATATTGACACGTTTTTGTGGACTTTTATGGACCTTTCTGCCTCGGGCGCCATAGACCTCCATTATTTGAATGTCAGCAGACAGCAAGAAGCCTCCCAGATCTCCAGATGCATTTGAGATATCAAAAAAGTACTCCAGAGTGTTGTTCAGCATGGGGGTGAGTAGAAAATGAAGGCTAATCATGTTTTGGGTGTACTATTCCTTTAAGAATTAACAGCAGTGCCCTCTATTGGACAACGGTAACCTACAACCCTGACAGAAATTCATTTTAAGACCTTATTAAATAATTGGATTAAAGAACTTGTTATCTAATAAACACTTAATTTGTATCCATTATTTGTATACATCCTTAGGATAATTCATGAACTTCTATACGGAGGCACAAAGCCAACGAAGTCGGCTTTGTATGAATAAATTCTGACCTGGCCAGCATGAGATTTGCACTGGGATTGTTTGTTCCAGGGCCGGTGGGGCTCCATTTGATGGTGTAGATTTCTTTACTATGGGCCTGGAGGTCATGGACGCATGAATCCTGCTTCATGCTCCATATCTACAGCAGCAGGAAGAGATGAACAAAACGAATCACTGAGTTCAACATGAGGCTTTAAAAAAAAACAAAAAACAGCCTATTTTTCAGTGTGAACTGACCTTAAGTGTCATGTCATCAGAGCAGGAGGCGAGCAAGCTGCCGGTGGGATCCCACTTTATGGCGTTCACTTCATTCTACAGTTGGAACCATTAAAACAAAAAGAAAATGAAGATATATAGAGTTTATACTCTTAGTTATGTGTGTTTTACTATTAAGAAACTGTGCAAGAAAATCATTACAGAAGTGACCAAATTTAAGGTTACAGAAATATAAGCAGAGGTGTCTAGTAAAGTACAAATACTTTGTTACCTTAAAGGAATAGTACACCCAAAACATGATTAGCCTTCATTTTCTACTCACCCCCATGCTGAACAACACTCTGGAGTACTTTTTTGATATCTCAAATGCATCTGGAGATCTGGGAGGTTTCTTGCTGTCTGCTGACATTCAAATAATGGAGGTCTATGGCGCCCGAGGCAGAAAGGTCCATAAAAGTCCACAAAAAACGTGTCAATATTCCTCCATACTGCTCGTCCAATGTATTCCAAGTGTCCTGAGTGGGTAGCGTCCAGAATTTACTAGAAACGAAGTCATTTAGAATGTTTTTAGAGCATAAACAGTAGTGTATAGGATTTCCTGAAAGCGCGTTCACAAGTCTACGGAAACCGCGGCAGACCAAACCAGATGAAAGTGCGCATTCAGCTCGGCAAAGAACTCATGCTCTTCCTTAACACTGAAGTCCTCAGACATTTTTCTTTCGTTGTTTCTTTCTTTGCACAGGTAAACAGCACATTTCTTCTTCTACGCTTGCATTATCGGCAGAGCAGACGCTGAATGCGCACTTTCATCTGGTTTGGTCTGCCGGCTTCCGTAGAGTCATGAACTCGCATGTGCGCGCTTTCAGGAAATCCTATACACTACTGTTTATGCTCTAAAAACATTCTAAATGACTTCGTTTCGAGTAAATTATGGACGCTACCCACTCAGGACACTTGGAATACATTGGACGAGCAGTATGGAGGAATATTGAAACGTTTTTTGTGGACTTTTATGGACCTTTCTGTCTCGGGCGCCGTAGACCTCCATTATTTGAATGTCAGCAGACAGCAAGAAGCCTCCCAGATCTCCAGATGCATTTGAGATATCAAAAAAGTACTCCAGAGTGTTGTTCAGCATGGGGGTGAGTAGAAAATGAAGGCTAATCATGTTTTGGGTGTACTATTCCTTTAAGTAGAAATGTTGGCTATCTGTACTTTACTGGAGTAATTCTTTTTGGACACCTTTTCACTTCTAATCTTTACATATTTTTGCAATTATCTCTACTTTCTACTCCCTATATTTTTAAAATAGACTTGTTAATTTTGTTTCATTTTTTTGTTTCATTTAAGTACAAATTTATTATGGCCTGTAGATATTTAAAACAAACAAACAAAAAAAAAACACTGTCTTGCACCAACTTATTGTTACCCACATACTAAAATAAGTTGTTTTTTTAAGATGATGTACAGTTAAATTCGACACTGTTACCATTTGTTATAAAACTAAGAAACTTCAGTATAAGGAAGTTATCATCCAGAATTTTAGAAAAATGTTTCTTTAATAGGTTAGTGCAGTAACCAGTATAAGGTTAAAGTATCTTTCCTTAACATTTTTTTCCTGCATTACTTTTACTTTTACACTTTAAGTAGTTTTAAAAATTGTACTTTTACACTTTTACTTAAATAAAAAAACTTAAGTTGATACTCTAACTTCTCCAAAACTATTTTTAAACAGTAGGATTTTTACTTCTACTTGAGGAATAATCATTAATACTTTTGACCAGTGATGGGAGTAACGGCCTTGAAAGTAACGGCGTTACTAACGCCGCTACCTTTTTTAGTAACGAGTAATCAAAATTGTTACTCTTACTGTAACTATAACGCAGTTACCATTGCCGACACCCCGTTACTGCACGTTACTCAGGTCGCACAATTAACCTTTTTTCATGATAGGACTCGTGCGCGCGTCATGAGAGAGGGGAGGATGGAGAGTGAGGAGGACTCCAGCAGCAAAAACAACGTTTTCCAGATGGAAATACCGGTGTTACGTCGAGCTGCGTTTCCCCATCAGATACGGTTTCCTCTGCATCTCCGCCGAGCGCGGCGGCACGATTCACCGCGCAAGCGACAGGAAATGCGCATGCTCGCTAAAGGCGCGTAACAGCCGCCCTGTGCTCGCACCACAGGGGAACTACGGAGAGCGTGAACGATCATTAGCCTATATGGAGAAAGAGAGAAATATGGATGGATGGACGGAGTAATGGATGGATGAATGGATAGATGGATGTAGCTACATGTTGCAGTATCTATAACAACCCAAACACAGGATTTCAGAATTAGACATCCCCAGTTATTAATTTCATACACTCGCAAAAATAACGCAATAGTTACTTTTACTACTAACTAGTTACTTTTATTGTGGAGTAACTCAGTTACTAACTCAGTTACTTTTTGGAAGAAGTAACTAGTAACTATAACTAATGACTTTTTTCAAAGTAACGTGCCCAACACTGCTTTTGACACCTCTAAAGATAAGGTTATCTTTGCATATGTTATGTTAGTAATGACCTGGTAAGAACCGGTGTTTGCAGAGGACAAAGGAGAGAAAAACAGTTGTTTTCCTAATTTTTTTGTATTTGGGGACAAAGAAAAAAAAAAGAAAAAAATCAAAATGTTACATTATCACAGGAAAAAAAAAAGAAATTAGATCATTTCAATGTAAACAGCAACAGGAAGAGATAAGATAGGAATCATATGTACCAGAAGAAAACAGAAACTCCTATAAAAGAGAGCTGCTCATAAACACTCAGATCATTTTTAGATCAGTGAATGCCTCATGCTCAATATAATAAAGATTTTCACACAGGTCCAGCTTGGTTTTCAAATGACATCAAATAAATAATTCCAATGTCTTGTATTGAGGTTAGAGTGATGCTCTGAAACCTTGAGGTGTGTCTAAACAGCAATAGGGGGTGAAGATACTGCGTCGACTGAATGTGGCCCACAGAGTACTTGTGGATGAGTATTGTGACGGCTGTCATACCGAGTGTCCCTGGAAGGTCTTGACGGGTCTTTCCTGGCCCAGCTTACACACATGGATGCACATGTCTGTGCTGCAGGAGGCAAATGTGTTATTGTTCTGCCAGTCTACGTCCAGAGCCGGTGCTGTTAGGGGAGGCAGAGAGCAGAAAGGCATCATGCAGACAAAACATCCCCCTTTCACCATCGGGACACACGGGGCTATTGTGAAACCTACAGGAGATAATCTTAGCTGCTTTATGATGACATCTATCAGGCTGTTAAAAAAAAAAAAAACGACCTGATGACAGAGAGAAACGCAGCTTCTTACTGCTAGCGTCTTGTTGCAGTGCGGCACAAGGTAACTTGTGTCTAAAAACAGCCGGCGGCGTGAAAAAGTCAAGCGGAACAAACCAGCTGACTCATGTCACTCACCTGAGTGGAAAGGAAACTGCTGCTTCGCTTCTCCTGTGTGTGCGTCCCAGATGATGGTCGTCTGTGTGGAAGGAGACGGGAGCATGAGTCACAGTGAAGCAACATCATGTCGTCTCTTTACTCTCAAGTAGTATTTTTTTCTTTTTTTGACTTTAGAAACTCAGAAGCTGATCAAATATCGGGTTAAATATCGGTGGGGTGGCCGATGTCCGATATTCAGTTTTAAGGCCGATACCGATAGGGGGGCCGATTATATCGTGTATCCCTAGATGAAAGCGTGGCTGAGGGAGGTGTATGTAAGGAGACCAGGTGGTTTTTTCCACGCATCACCATCGCTGTTAATCTGTGACTCCATGCGTGCCCATCTCACAGCCGATGTGAAAAACATGGTGAAACAAATGAACGCTGTTATTCCGGGAGGTCTGACAAAGGAACTTCAACCGCTCGACATCGGCGTGAACCGGCTGTTCAAAGTAAGGCTGCGAGCGGCGTGGGAGCGATGGATGAACGACGGAGAACACAGTTTCACGAAAAGTGGAAGGCAGCGCCGGGCAAGTTACGCCACCGTTTGCGGATGGATTGTTGATGCTTGGGCTAACGTGTCTGCTGGCTCTGTTGGTCGAGCTTCTGCAAATGCCGGCATCATTTCCGAGGAGCCGCGCTGCATGGAAAGTGACAGCGAAGAAGGGGAAATTGGCATGTCTGATTTAGCGCAGCTGTTTAATTCAGAAACAGAGGATGATGACTTTGATGGGTTTGATTAATACTTTGTAATAAACACATGAATAAAGCAGAAACATACTCAGTTTTGCTCCCGCTCTATTTTTAAATACGCAGTAGAGGTATTTAAACGTAGTAGAGGACATGTACCTGTATATGAAACCCGCGCCCTATAATCCGGTGCGCCTTATGTGTGTGTTACATACAGTAATGGCACACATAACTGAGACTGCGCCTTTTAGTACGGTGCGCCTTATGGTCATGAAAATACGTATAATTTTCTTAAAGTAGGGTGATATTTCTTAGTGTAACCCACATGTCCCTGTGTTTACAGCTGTCGATCCTGCTTCTGCTGATCCCCAGAGGCCACTAAGATCAGCAAATAAGAAATAAACAGTAAATAACAATTCATATAAATTGCTTCTAAAATCTATTAAAATTAGGGCTGCAACAACGAATCGATCAAATCGATAAAAATCGACGTTTAAAAGCGTTGGCAACGAATTTCCTCATCGATTAGTTGTGTCGCGCGATTAATGCGTCATCAGCCGCCGCCGTCATCACATCCACTTGACTGAAACGGGGGGAGGAAAAAAAAATTACGGCAGAGCGAGCCTGCGCCGCGGGTGCAGTGTTGCCAACTCAGCGACTTTTCAGACCCCTCCAGCGACTATTTTTTTAAAAAAGCGACTAGCGACAAATCTGGCGACTTTTTACGGTGTTACTGGCGGCTTTTGGAGACTCTTACGTGAAAGCATGTATCGTTCCAACTCTTGTCCTGCAGCAGCAGCTGCTGCCGTGGGGCGCCTCCCCCATCCCAACCCTGTTTTCCCGCAGGAATCCCTCTCAGCGCTGCAGTCAGAGCCGCAGGATGTTTCAGCGTCCAGACTGCAAATGAAGCGCGCATGCGCCGGGATTGACGGCGCAAATTGATCACAATAATTAAAATAGCCTTTATAAATAAATTAACTTTCAAATTATGAGGGCAAGGCTTTTAAAGTTTAAATCTTCTGGCAAAGATAAAGTAAAGAAGATCCTGCAATTTATGGAAGTAAAGCATCAAATCCAGCAAGATCAGTAATATGTCAATTAATTATCTGCCACATTCCCATGTAAATATCTGTCTTTGGAGGATGTGTTTTTTAGCACCCCTAGTTCTCTCATTTTTATTCCAAATACAATTTATAATTTGAATCACAGGGCTATTTTTATCTCTATGGTTCAGTATTTTCTCAAGTAGCAACTTTACCTGCTATACTTTCCTGTCTTAAAAGGCAGAACTCTTCTAGTCTAAAAAAACGCATTTGTTGAAATGGGGGGGCCTATTGTTTGAACCCCTTAGGGGCTTTTTAAAACAAAAATGTCTTTTTTGCGCTTTATGAAACAAAGTAGCCTATATTTTGTGGATGTACAGCTACGTTTCTCATGTAAGTTTGCGTAGTTTTAACACAAACATTTATTTTTCATATTGCACCAGTCCAGTTAATGAGCAACCTGTACTTGTGTGCTTGTTTGTTCTGTCTAAAATGTTTATTTTGGAATAAAGAGGTTGATATAAAAAATATTTTTTGTCCGATTCATCGATTAATCGAAAAAATAATCCATTTTTAAAATAATCGTTAGTTGCAGCCCTAATTAAAATTACTATTATTATTAAAGTCTACTAAATCTACATAAATACATGGAATAAACAACATTATTATAAAAAGGTTATTTAATATATTTTTCTAAAGGCAAAATTAATAGCTTCAATGTTTCTGTTTCTTTCAAAATACTACTTTCTTTGTCATGGTTATTCAGTGACTCATGACCCTATACATGTCGTTACGCCTGCGTACACTAGATGGCAGTGTTTAATAATGGTTTGCATTATTCTGGCAGAGTGTGAGCCGGGCTCTCTTCTGCACAGAGCATCAAAGAGCTGATGTGTTTCCATCCTGGAGGCGATGCATTGTTTTTTTTTCAGGAGTCTGCAGAAATTAGGTCTTTCCTTTTTTTCAATGACTTGTTATATTTCCTCTTCCTGATCTTCGAGGGTTTTATTCCAACTAATCCGTTTCACATTTTGAAGAAAGAGCAGAAGGCCATATGTCTTAGAGCACCTGATCCAAACCCGGGAACATGCGTGGAAAACAAAATACTCAAATGGCAAAAGCTCCAGCTGGAAAAAGGCATTACCTTATCCACTCCGGCACTGAGGATGAAGTTTCCTTTCTTATTCCACTTGAGTGCAAATATGGGGCCTTTATGCTGACCCAGAGTGCTGGCCAGGTTTCCTGAAAACACACAACAATCAGACGACTAGGGGAACAAGAAAAACAAGCTATGCAGGCGTAGCTGTGATGTAAGCGGAGCTGTGAGCGTTACCGTCTTTTGTCCATATCCGAGCGAAGCCGTCATATGAGCCGGTGGCTAGTAGCGTGCCTTCACTCTGGAAGAAAGCCACGATGAAATGACAGGTTCAGGCCTTGACGTTAAACTTTTTCACTTTGGTTTTAGCTACTTTAAAAAAAATATTTTACACATTGAGTCCATTCTATTTGCAAGTGTAAAAAGCAGTCATTTGTTGAAGGAAGAATGAAATCAAGGTAGAAGGACAAGAAAACTTTCCCCCTTTTTTAACTTTTTTTGAAAGGCTAAGTTATGGTTTTATAAAACTAAATACACCTGTTTACCTTTTTGGTTAAAACCAAACAGCAATTTTCCCCAGTAGATATACTGCTGTTATGTTTTAAACAACACAGCAATGCTAAAGGCTGGTTTATACTCAGAAAGCAGGTCGTCTGCGTCGCAGTGACACTCTGCTGCACCTCTCCCTAATTGTAGGCGACCGCAGACAGTGCTGCAGACAGGAGGCCTCTGATTGGTTAAATCTACATCTGCTCTACACTATCCGCATTTCCTGTTTGGTACCTTACCAGCTTCTTTTGTCTGTATGACCGCCATTGTGAAAAATGACTCTAGAAGTTGGACCAGCTAGAAGAGGGAGGTGCGTGAGAACGCTGGGACCCTTTTTCCACCTGGATCCTCGCTCTTTTTCACCCTCATGTCCCTCAACTGTCGGACAAACTTGCCATCATTTCCTCACCGCCTCGACCGTATCTAGACGCACAGCTAGTTTGTGATTGTCCCTCTTGCTCTGTGGCGTGGAATAACATAGTGCAGACAACGCTTCAAAATTGAGCATGAATCAAAAATATCTGCAACAAGCTCACTGCGCCACACTGCTGCAGGATTATAACGACGCCTTAAAGGAATAGTACACCCAAAACATGATTAGCCTTCATTTTCTACTCACCCCCATGCTGAACAACACTCTGGAGTACTTTTTTGATATCTCAAATGCATCTGGAGATCTGGGAGGCTTCTTGCTGTCTGCTGACATTCAAGTAATGGAGGTCTATGGCGCCCGAGGCAGAAAGGTCCATAAAAGTCCACAAAAAACGTGTCAATATTCCTCCATACTGCTCGTCCAATGTATTCCAAGTGTCCTGAGTGGGTAGCGTCCATAATTTACTCGAAACGAAGTCATTTAGAATGTTTTTAGAGCATAACCAGTAGTGTATAGGATTTCCTAAAAGCGCGTTCACGAGTCTACGGAAACCGCGGCAGACCAAACCAGATGAAAGTGCGCATTCAGCTCGGCAAAGAACTCATGCTCTTCCTCAACACTGAAGTCCACAGACATTTTTCTTTCGTTGTTTCTTTCTTTGCACAGGTAAACAGCACATTTCTTCTTCTACGCTTGCATTATCGGCAGAGCAGACGCTGAATGCGCACTTTCATCTGGTTTGGTCTGCCGCGGCTTCCGTAGCGTCATGAACGTGCAGGTGCGCGCTTTCAGGAAATCCTATACACTACTGTTTATGCTCTAAAAACATTCTAAATGACTTCGTTTCGAGTAAATTCTGGACGCTACCCACTCAGGACACTTGGAATACATTGGACGAGCAGTATGGAGGAATATTGACACGTTTTTTGTGGACTTTTATGGACCTTTCTGTCTCGGGCGCCATAGACCTCCATTATTTGAATGTCAGCAGACAGCAAGAAGCCTCCCAGATCTCCAGATGCATTTGAGATATCAAAAAAGTACTCCAGAGTGTTGTTCAGCATGGGGGTGAGTAGAAAATGAAGGCTAATCATGTTTTGGGTGTACTATTCCTTTAAGTAGAGTTTAACTCTGAAGAGGAAGAACATCAGCCACAGTTTCTAAAAATACTTCTACCGTGATGATAAAACCTCTAACCCTACCAAATCCGATCAATCGATTCTTTTTCTCTCTTTTAGTTCCATGAGAAAAATGTCAATGTTAGCAGCCAGTGGTACCATATGGAGTGAATGTTGTTCCATTATTATTGCAAGGAAGGAACGTAAATGGAAATTTGAAAAAAAAGAAGGAAGAATTAAACTTTAAAATAGTTCTTTATAAAAAAAACATTTTGAAAGGAATTTTGTTTTCTTTTGTTGTATTTTAATCTTTACATGTTTTTTTTTTATTTTATTTACAGATTTTACCCCGCCTCTCGCCCATTGACAGCTGGAGATAGGCACCAGCACCCCTTGCGACCCCAATTGGGACAAACGTGTCAGATAATGGATGGATTTTATATTCTATAGTTTTATTTTTTTTATTAATTTTTTTCACATTAAGTCTATGAATTCCATTCTTTTAAAATTGTATTCTAAAGATTCAATCGTCTTCACTTCAAGCCTAACAACAATGCTCAGTCTTGACCAATAAAAATGTGGTAGCTAACATCAAAGTGTGATGTAGTTTTATTAAATTGTATTAACTTCAACAGCAAATATTGAAATTTGTGCATATTTTTAAAAGCCAAACGGTTCAAATTGGGTAGAAGACACACATGGAGATCAATGAGGATCAGTCTGGTGAGTTTTATACTGAAGTCTGGATGTTAACTAACACCAAACGAAGGGCTCACACTGACCTCAATGCAGCTGATGCTCAGGCTGCACAATGGCGCCCACTATGGGTTCAATTCTCTTTCTCATCCCTGCTCATAAATAACCTTCTTCCTCCTCAAAGATACGTCCCTTTCTTCTGTTTTCTGGGTTGTTTCAACTACCAATGTTAGCATCAGTCTGTGGGTTGATTTTATTCTGAAATTCAGCCCAACTCCTCTTGTCTGGTTCCTGACTCGACCCTGGGGCCTCTGTGGTGTCCAGCCCAACTTCCTCCTCGCGTAATCATCCCAGCTGCAGCCTTATCAGTGTGAGCCCGGTGTAAACCATTCAGCCGGCGGCATGTTTACGGTCATCGCCCTGCTGCTGCAGCTTCTCTCAGATTTTCTCCGCACTCAGCTCCATACATTCCCTATCAACTACATGCAGCCTGCTCAGGTGACGCATCCCCCACTGCACGACGGAACGATGGGCTTCAGGCGAAATGTAGCTACTTTTCTGGAGACATTCAACACTTTCCACGTTTGCCATCTCCGCTGCAAATTTCAGCAGTAAAAATCCAAGCAGGACGACCTGCAGCTTTCTTTTTCATGCACAAAGACCAAATGGGTGGAATCCATCCTTAAAAGATTTCCTGTCAAACAATTCTCCCAGCTGCGTCTTCACATTTGCTAATTTTGTGACCTCTGAAAGGAGGCCTTAATTTAGAAATTTCGGGATAAATAGTGCTCACTAAAAAAAGAAACCTGCACCCTAAAGTTTAAAAACTCGCTTTGCTTCCTTTTTACATTTATGCACCAGTTTAAATCAGCCTATAAAATAAAATCATTAAAATACAGACTTTTAAAGGGTGTAAATACTTTTGCAAGGTATTCTGGCTATTTACTTAATTAGACAAAGATGTGTGCACCCTGATGCAAAGAAGTGGAAAAAAAGAGAGGAACGCTCACATTCCAGTCCAGCGATGTGACGTCTTTGTTGCTGGGAACGTCCTGGCCGCCCTCCCGGATGCAGTGCCTCAGAACCAGCTGGGTGGATCCGCCCGTGCTGTTTTCGCTCAGGTTCCAGATCCGTGCCGTCGAGTCTCCCGACCTGTAGAGCGAGAAAATCCAGGGGCGTCAAACATTGGCCAAAAGAGGGAGCCCACTTCTTAGATCATTACAAGAAAATGGTTTAGAACTGACCATCACAGATCCTGAGCTGAGTTGGGGTTAAAGGCATTTTATCGAAACCTGAACCCAAACCATCATATGCAAAACCCTTTTTTTTATGCCTAATAAACCTTTTTCACATGATCTGTTGAAGAAAAAAGGAAAGGGACATTTTACAGGCAAAAAAAGGTCATTTGCACTCTTTATTTGCTTTTATTTTCTTCTATTTTACTGTTTTATTCAGTTAAAATACTTTGAATTGTCCTTACAATTCAACCATAAGGTGGTTCATCTTTATGTTTGTTCTTTTAGGAGGAGCCTTACGGTTACAGGAATGTTCCACCGATAGTCAAATTTGTTTCATTATTGTTATGAGGAACGAATACTTTTAATAATGTAATTAAATTAAAAATATTTTTACGTTTTTTATTAACAGAAAAAAACAAATTTTAGAACTGAAGAATAAAAAAAAAAAAAAAAAAACGCAAAAGCAATTTTCAAAATCAAAAAAATGTTTGAGAGTAACTTTGCTGTTCTTTTAAATTTTTTTTTTTATATTTTTATCCAATTTTTATTTGAAATTTTAAAACATTGTTTTTTTTCACAAGCTTATTTGTTCCTTTTATTTACAAATTTGACTTTTTACACATTTAAAATGATTTTTTTTTTTACTTTTTTATAGAATTTTTTTTTTTTTTCAAACTTGCTAATGTTCAATCTGGACTTAATGGAAATGCATCTTCCCTTCTCACTCCAGGGCAAAAAAACACCAAGTAAAGAAAATTTGAATGAAATTCATAAAAAACTATCTGGAAAAATAGATTTTAAAAATACAATTTGAAAATATATATATATAAAAAAAACACATCTCTTAAACTTTTTTTTCCTTAAGAAGTTTTCCATCTTGCTACTATAATGGAACAAAATTAATTCCTTATCTATATGTTCACCATAACTGGTGGAAACTTACCTCTATACTGTGTTTTCAGAAAGAGCCAACGAATACTTCAATTTAGGGATATATGTGATGAAATACTTGTGCTACAGAGTATTTGTTTTTTATAAGATGTTAGTTGTTTTCTGGTGCTAGTTTTCTAACCTGCAAGTAGGACACTTTCCCTCACTTAAACGTCCCCTCCCCGAGCGGGTGCTCCCCATTTCATGCAGACACCAAGAACTGTATGAGGCCACGCCCACAGAGCACTTTAGTAAAAAAAGAATGACTGCAGTATAACGCCATAATGTTTTTGACCAGGTCGCAAATTTGAAGCACATCAGTTACTGCAAACTAGCCTTGTGAGACCAACCTGATCTCGCGAGCTTTCAAGGTTTAACTCGCAGATCAGTCTGGAGACTCTCCGTTAAAGAACATTTGGAGCCGTTCACCAAACGAACGTCCAATCAGCGTTGGCTTTGAGGCGGGTTGAGGTGTGACGCAACGAGAAGCGCGACAGTTCAGTCTAAAGAACATGGCGGCTTCAGCCGATGAAACTAGCGTTAGCGTGGCTATCGAGCAAGTTTTATCGGAATTACAGAGTATTTCTTCACTGAAAGAAGAGCAAAACACTGCTCTGGAGGCTTTTCTCAGAGGAAAAGATGTTTTTGCTCTTCTCCCGACTGGTTCGGCAAGATTAGCCTGGCTTGTGGTTGTGTTTTCATCATCGCTCTGTTAGTACGTCATATGCTTTGTTGATCTGATTGGTTTATTTGGCCCGTCTATCACCAACATAGGCCAATCAGCTAACCAGTATTTTCGCCCCTTCCCAAAATTCCTTCAACTGAAGGTTTCCAGATGGATATGCGGAGCAAATCCATCAGGCTAACTGCAGACACCCCAAAAAACTTTGCAGATTGTTTCTTATCTTGACCCAAATTACAAGATTAGTTGCAAGGTATGGAAAGAATTTTGTTCCAATATTATTGAAAGCGAATGATGCGTTTTGTAAATGGGACTACAAAAAAATGCAATAATGAAAAACAAATTTGTTTAAAAAAAGTTATTAAAGTAAGTTAGCTGTTTTATTCAGATTTTATTATATAAAGATAATTTATAACTACTTATAATTTAAGTGAAGAAAATGTGAGCTGTAAAATGCATTTTGTGTAAATAAAAAAATGGAACTGTAAATATAAATCATTTAAATTTAGAGAAAACATAAAAGTTACTCTCAGATCATTTTCTTATCTATTTATTTTTTGTTACTTTCTTTGGTGGTGGTAATTTATTTTACATTTACATTAATAAAATATGTTCTTTGCTTCCAACAATGATAGAACAAAATTCTCTCCGTACAGGTGTGGTATTTCTATAGGCATCTTATATCTGCATGTTGCTGCTCACATTTGTGGGTGTTCATGTCAAAAACAGCCAAACAATTTCCACTGAAAGTATAGTATGATTCCAAGAAATTCCTACATTCATGGATCAAAAAAAAAAAACAACAACAACTGATATTTTTTTGAATTAGAAGAAGGATTAGTATTATTACATATTTAAAAGGTCAAAAAGGTCATTTTGCATGATGACTCATGTTTATATTAGGTAGTTTGAATCATTCAGATTCTTCTCTCTCCAGAGTGGCGCTAATGAGCCCAGGGACGTGGAAAACCGGCCGCAGGAAAGCGTGCTGCTTTAAAATATGACTCAGAGACCTTCTAATTTCACAGATTTGAATTTGTACGAGCCAACATGAGGAAGAAGCAGACAAACATGTAGACGGCAGATTATATGGACGTAATTTCTACACTGAGTGTCAAACCCAAGGTGTGATTTCTGCCCACAGGATGTTAACATCGCACAGATGTGGTGTTTCGGTAGCTTTGGAAACTGTGTGTTTGAAAAGAATCTTAAAAAATGAGCAAATTTGGTTTAATGATCCTCGTTCAAAGTTTACCCAAAACAAGAAAAGAATTAAGAACATTAAGCTGTCATCATGCAAAGAATCGTCCTCCAATAAAAATCCACAAGTTTACTATTTTTTTAACATGGCAGGACGGTTAGAGGAAGGAAACCCTTAGAAGGACGTTTTCTATTTTAGTTAGAGAAGAGCGCGCAGACATAGATGTTACTGACCCGGAGGCGAGGAGGTCGTTTACTGGGTTCCAGGCACAGATAAAAACCTCCGATTCGTGGCCTCTGAGGACCACGGCTTTATTCTGTGGGATTTCCACATCCTGGTCCACCTCCATCGTCTCTGAGTGGTTATCTACAAGAGAGGGAAGGCAGTGAATTTCAATCAAGGTGCTGGTAATGTTATTAAGAGATTAGAGAGTTTTACCATTAAGCAGCAGGGAGGGGGGGGGGGGGGGGGGGGGGGGGGGGGGTTGGTTCCCGTTTTAAAAGAAAATGTGAATATTAATGAAATGAACGGATCTACAGCAGCTCTAAGCTGAGAACATCAAGGAGGAAAATAAAATTTCCATTCCTAATAAACACAGACAGGGACACAGCAGCAAGATAAGGACCGATGTTATGTAATTTACTGTCAGACTGTAGAGACTAAGAATAGCATTGCTATCACTAGTATCAGTGTTAATAGCTGTCACATATTAACACCTCTAACTCCCTCTTTACTGAACACCAACATTCAGCCTGTGGTCTCTGCAGTCTTCCAGTCTTATTTATCTTTTTTTTCAAAGGGTCATGATCCTTAGGCCTCCTGACCCTTTAGGGTCTTGTAAGAGCTGTAAAATGACTGCTTTATTGCATCCAGCCTCTACAGTGATGGATGATACTTGTGCCATGTTTAAAGGAAAAGTCCAGTCAGCGAGCAATAATCAATAGATCATTATTTATATCTAAAACTAATATTTTCGCTTTAATTTTAATTAATTTTATCGCTACTCAATACAAAAAAATAAAAGCAATAATTTTCGTTGTGATCACTGAGTCTGGGAGCGTCCATTTTTCATCTTCCGGCAGTGATGTTACGGTGCGGTAAGCCTAGCGCCATTCTCCCCGCTTTACAAGCTAAATCAATGGGAACTACTAGACACATCTGCAATCAACAACAATTATTGAAGATTTCCAGAGGACTTCACCGTTGAAATTCACCAGAGCTATAGTGAAACTGACAATGCCCACGTGCATGGCAGCTGGATGCTGGAATACATCGGGTAAAAGTGGAAAAAAAAAATATTTATTTCGCCTTTCCGATTCCTGATCCTCCATGGACGGATTCATCATTGGATTCAGGGTTCCTACTGCATAAGGCAAATTAAATTCCAGACTTTTAATGCCACTTGAAATAAAAATTTAAGACCAAATTCACAAGAAACACAAGAAAAACCCGCTTGCAACAACTTAACCCGAAGGTTTATTTTAACATAAACCGCTGCACTAATGTTTCAAATGTTGAAAAGCTTCCCATACAGGAAGAAAGCTAAAAATACACAAATGACAGATATATTTTAACAATTATTTAACTGAATTCGCAAACTTTGTTTTAGCAGGGAACAAAACTAATCAGTTTTAAAGCCCCAACATAACCAGTGCTAAGTATTTTTTGCAGCTATTTTTCTTTGTATGGTTTTCTTAGTATGTTTGATTTGGTGATAAGTGGAGGCGTTGCAGAGACAAGGATGGAACAAAACTGAGAAATACCGGCTGTTTCTCTGTAACTCCATTTTGACGCTTTGTGTTTCGTGCTCCGCATGTGCGACTCCACTGCCTTAATTTCCATCGTTCTGAGCTTGAATGACTTCTTGCATAAAATCCACTGAGCCTCATGTATGTTCCCTGGTTTTAGCCATGGAGGAAACTCTTGGCTGGAGCCAATTTTGGTTACATTTACACTTGATCATATTTTCCAGACAAAAAGTTAATGGCGCATCTCCCAAATGTCCCGGCCGCAACAACGCTTTATTGGTTCCGCTATTGGGACGAACCAATAACGGGGAGCACTTTTTTTTTATAAAAAAAAAAAATTGTCAATTTTAACGTTTTATTTAGATTACAAAAATAAATCGTAATAAAAATGATCCTATTTATGATGTTTTAAAAATTAAGACCTACAAAAGACTGATTTAAGACATTTTAATACCAATTAAGGCCTTAGTTTTATTTTGAAGAATTCAATGCCTTTTAAGACTTTTTAAGGACCCACGGGAACCCTGGGATTGCCAACTTGAAGACGGAGGATTTGCCATCGAACTTCTGGCCAGAGAAAAAACACGTAATATGTAGCCAACATTTGGAAGAAGAATGTTTTCAAGATGACTTGGATAATAGCACGTTGTGACAAACACCAGATACAGCACTGGGACTTGATCAACAGCTGATACCGCACCGTGACGTCACAAACCAGTAGGTGGCAGTAGTGTTCTTTGAGAAACATGGATGCCTCCAGTAAAGCACATTCACATGAAAATCAGGGATTCAGAGTAAATTACTCAGAATCAGGGAGAGGGAATGCCTGACAGACTTTTGCAGCTCACTCCTGTTTCTTGCTTTTTGCATTTTTTTTTAAAACTCTCTACTGACAAGCTGTCACATCACTTCACCGGAGGGAAGTAATGATTTTCTTCCAGCTTTTAGATTTTGTGCAAGTTGTGTGGAAGTTATCAGAATAATTGTTTATTTAAGGAGCAGAGGTCTCCTCTATCAAACCACAAAGGGTTTTAATCAATAGTTAGAGTTCTTTTTTAATCTGCCATAAGCAGTTCATATTGTCCATAATTTGGGGTTATGGGTAAAGTATTATTTAATTAACTAATCGAGGTAAAATGTTGTTGAAAATTCATGCATTTTGAAATAATGTATGAATTTTTATGCATTGTCTAAATCAACACTGCATACATCTTATTAGACCAAAATGACGCTAACTGGAGGAACTGTCCGCTAATCAGGTAATTATTACACTAAATATTATTATGCCAAAGAGAAGAGTTGGTCTGCCTATGTAAAGGATAATTTGTAGCTAAGAATCTTCTATGCTTAGTAACAGCTTCCACACCGAAGAGTGTTGCTAGAGAGAACCTCACAGCAGCATCAAGGCATGTTTACAACCCTAAGTTTTCTTACTGGCTAAGGTATGTGATCCGTTTTCTTCTCCGTTGGCGGCCCCCTCTCCATTCTTGGAGGTCCCCTGTGTTCCTGAGCTGCTGCCTGCCGCCGCCGCCGCCTGCTGAGCTAGCTTGTCTCTGTAGGCCTGCTGCCTGGTCTGGACAACATCTGGCATAACAGCATCAATCAGAGACAGCGACTCGATAGGTCGTCCATCAAACAAGGTCCCGTCCTAGACAGAAAAGAGGAAGCTTTACAGTAGACAGGGTTCCTACAGCATAAGGCAAGTTAAATTCAAGACTTTTAAGACTTTTTAATGCCACTTGAAATAAAAATTTAAGACCAAATTTACAAGAAACACAAGAAAATCCTGCTTGCAACAACTTAACCCAAAGGTTTATTTTAACATAAACCACTGCACTAATGTTTCAAATTTTGAAAAGCTTTCCATACAGGAAGAAAGCTAAAAACACACAAATGACGGATATATTTTAACAATTATTTAACTGAATTCGCAAACTTTGTTTTAGCAGGGAACAAAACTAATCAGTTTTAAAGCCACAACATAACCAGTGCTAAGTCTTTTTTGCAGCTATTTTTCTTTTTATGGTTTTCTTAGTATGTTTGATTTGGTGATAAGTGGAGGCGTTGCAGAGACAAGGGTGGAACTAAACTGAGAAATACCGGCTGTTTCTCCGTAACTCCATTTTCACGCTTTGTGTTTCGTGCTTCGCATGTGCGACTCCACTGCCTTAATTCCCATCGTTCTGAGCTTGAATGACTTCTTGCACAAAATCCACTGAGCCTCATGTATGTTCCCTGGTTTTAGCCATGGAGGAAACTCTTGGCTGGAGCCAATTTTGGTTACATTTACACTTGATCATATTTTCCAGACAAAAAGTTAATGGTGCATCTCCCAAATGTCCCGGCCGCAACAACGCTTTTATTGGTTCCGCTATCGGGACGAATCAATAATGGTGAGCTGTTTTTTTTTTTTTATAATGAAAAAAAATTGTCAAATGTAACATTTTATTTAGATTACAAAAAATCAATCGTATTAAAAATAATCCTATTTATGATGTTTTAAAAATTAAGACCTACGAAAGACTGATTTAAGACATTTTAATACCAATTAAGGCCTTAGTTTTATTTTGAAGAATTCAATGCCTTTTAAGACTTTTTAAGGACCCGCGGGAACCCTGGTAGAGTAAAACTTGTCTAATGATTGCTGTCGATCACACGAGGAGCAATGTGGAGAAAATGTATAAAGAAACCAAACTAGCCTGGATGTTTTAAGGGGAGGCTAACCTCATTGATGCTGACTTCAGCCTCCACATACTGCAGGCCCTTCTGAATGATGGAGATGAGGGCGGCAGGGGGCACCAGGGCTCCATTGATGTTCGACTGGCTGATATGACTCTCTATGCCAAAGGTGAACGCTGAGTGGGAGAAGCCTAGAGGAATCAGAGCTTGTTAGCAGAACGCCCAGAGGAGGACGGTATAGCAGCACCGTTGAAATCATTTTTAATCGACTGTAAAAAGTTGCAACTTTTTTTTTTTTAGCAACAGCACAAAAAAGTACTGCATCATGCAGTTCTGCTTATCAGACGTACCCGACTCTTGGAGGTATCTGTAAACCAGGAAGTTGACCTCATCGCTGCTTATGCTCATCTTTAGTCCTGTTGATTAAACCATTGGGTCAGCACAGGTCAGTAGCCTGCAAAACACAAAAAGCACAAAAACTGCTTTAGCTGCTTTACACATAATTTGAAATTAAGCACATTTTTAGAAAGATGTTTTTTTTAAATCCCAGATTTTCATTAAAAGTTAGAGTTGGAGGTCACCAGTTTCCACACATTAACCTACATCTGGAAATGATTCCTACAGTGCATGTGTTTTGGCTTTATGCTCGTTCATGCTGAACCTGCACTGTTTGAATGGAAGTGTGGAAATAAACAAGGAGGGAGGAAAAAGAGGACAGAACGTCTGCTGTTTGCATTCTACCACCCCACTGAATGGGTCAACACTTGTTCTGCTGTGTCCCAAAAGGCTGACATCCAAGACTAACTGGATCCAAAGGGCTGGAATCCATTCAGCACCATCCAGATGAGGCGGTCAGAAAGTCCAGTTTGGTCCTCCCGATTTGAACTCAGCAAGTTTCAGGATATTCTATTGCAGCAGCCATGACAGTGCACTGGTAAAAGGACATTGTCAGAATAGTATTCAGCACTGGGACAGCAATTCTTAGAACTAAGTGACAGACAGGACACTTTAAAAACAAAAAGAGAAGGAATATATGTAAGATTTTACCATTTAAAATCTGTTTTTAGCACTCCTGAGTGCATACTTTGCTATAACAGATGCAGGTTTTCTGCAGCCTTCGACAGGTTATCTTCTACTATTACCCTGTGTATTACTCCATAAATCTTCCCATAAACTCTGACATGCTATCCGGGTGCTACTGGAATGAAAATCCTTCCCACGGCACAATGCTGAACCCTGACACCCAGAGTCAAGGATGGCGGGGTTGCATCATGTGGTGGTTTTGCTTCACTGACAATTTTACTCTTGCACCGCTCAAAGTGGGTGCGATAAAGAAAGGAATAACTTCCACAGTAAGAAATCCAGCATCAAGTTCAGAGCAAGAGGCTTCAGTTCCAGGAAACCAACTGGTTTAAATGGATCCATCAATCAAAAAATGTAGATTATGTTCTGGTGAACTGAAATATGCAGCAGAAAGAGAGAAAGAGGATGAGGGACGTTGTCAGGGAAACAGGGAGAGAATAAAGTTTAGAAAGGAATAAGAATTATTAATAAAGGTTTTTTTTTACTATGACATAATACAACATTGGAAAAAGAATAAAATATATAAAGTTGGGACTTGAAGGCATGAACAGGAAGAATGGTCAAATATAAAGACAGAAACTGTTGGGATCTGGAGATCTGCCACCTGTCTCCAGCAGAGAGCGCTATGGGTCTCCTGAGCTGGAGCCTCCTGCACACCTGAGGATCATCAGCCCATCAGGAGACCAGCTACATAAGCAGCGGCCAGACCTGTCTTCAGCGCCAGAGTGTTGCCAAGTTGTGGTTAGCAAAACCTGAGCCAAGCCTGCTAAGTCTGTTATTTGATACTCTGAGGGGTAACCTGAGATCTAACCCGTTTTTGTCTTCTCTGCTTCATAGACCTGTCTGCCTGCCCTCACAAGCCAAACCTGAAGATCCACAAGTTCTGTCTGATTCCAGTTCTCAGGAGAGAACTTTGGCAAATCCTCAAGGTCTATACTCGAATCTGAGGACAAGCTCTGCCGCTGCAAGCTCTCTGCTGCAACAACGAACTCTGGACCCAACTGGTTCCCTCTCTCACCGCGTCTGTCTGAATACCTTCAGGTACAACACTGAATCAGACTCTGTCAAGATTTCCCCAGACCCCCTGGCTAACCTAACTATACCTTCTCTACAGAGAACCCTCATGAAGTCTGTCCCAGACCAGAACCTGTTTCCAATGATTTACTTGTGTGAACATCTTAATAAACTGTTTGAACTTTTACTCCTGTTTCCGTGGTGTGTTCTGCATGTGGGTTAATTCAGTAAGCCATCATGACAGAAACATGTTGATTAGAGGCTACAGTTAGATGGCCATTTTAAATTGCTTTTAATACCTCGAAAACTTTGGGATTTAGAAAGCAAATCAAACAATAAGGGTTGAAAACAAACTTATTTAAGATTTTTATTATAAGTCATTTAGGGATGGAACGGTTCACAAAATCCACAGTTCGGTTTGGTTCACGGTTTCGTGGTCACGGTTTTTGGTTCGGTTCGGAACGCTTGAAAAAAATCTCAATCTAGATAAGTCATTTTTTCTTAAAATAAGTGCATTTGTTCTTGAATTGAGGAGGTAAGAGACATTTTGCCATTGGAACAAGACAATTTACACTTAAAATAAGAAAACACAATTGCATTGTCTTATTTCAAGTGCATTTTATCTAAATATCTTATTTTAAGAGTAAAAATATTAATTCCCTTGGCAACCCATCTCATTTACCAACTCAAATTAAGGGTAAATACACTTTATTTAGTAATTTTTTTACTTACTTGTAGATCATTTTTCCAGTGTATATGTTGATTGTTAGCCTGACATGTTGGTCGTGTTGCTGTTAGCATAAACAAAACGTGTTGCTCAATGCTTGCACACTGTTTTTATCCACAACTTTCTTTCCGCCGTCATCGTAGGTCACTCTAAATGCAAAGTGGTCCCATACAGCAGACCTATAAAGTGATGCTGGCGCGTCTTCCAACTCCTGTTCTTTCCCACTCGCAATACCCACACAATTCTCCACAACAACTGATTTGGAAAATAAAGGGTTTCTGCTCAACCCGGCTAAGCTGCTTCGCTTCTTCTTGTTTACTACTGGTGGTTGGCTTTGGTCGCAGTACCGCCACCTGCTGCTCTGGAGTGTAAACGCTTCGCCTATGAGAAAAAAGAGCAGCGCATGAACCGAACGCAACACACGCGAATCGAACCGAGACAGTCGAACCGAACGGTTCGGACGGTTTTCATAAACCGTTCCATCCCTAAAGTCATTTTATAATGACTATTATTTTATAAAGCCAGTCCAGATATTTTAAGGACATTTTATTCTTTCACCTCGTCTGTATTCCAAGCTTAACGTTTCATGGATTTATATTGAAATGAGAGGGCAGTTTTTTTCTGAGAAAACATTTCAGAGTAACCAATTATTGATGTGAAACAACAAAATAAATATAAAAGGCCTTTAACTGAATATTCATAACCAAATTTAGTCATCGCTCTGCTTTGAAACTCTATGCCACCCTTCCTCAACCTCTAACAGGAATTTGGATCAAATGTAGGGTAGAAATAGACGATGCAGTACCCATGTGATCATCAATAAGTCTTCAGTTGCTTATGATGGCGGCCTCGTCTCTGGAGCCTGGAAATGAGAAAAAGACAAACTTGAATATTCAACATTTACCTCATTGGTGTGAGTTAACAAAAAAAAAGGAAGATAGTGATGCTGTCTTAAACACTGCAGCTCATTTGGTGCCACATTGAAAAATTAAACAAACCGTCATTTGTAGCACATTGGTGTCTAAAAATCACAGTATTATGAAATGTAAACAAAGAACAGTGTTTCCTCGTGGATCCATAAGTTACTAAAAACTTGTTTTAATGTAACCAGTAGAGACCAGATAGGTGGCTTCCTGGAATATCCTAACCTGACTCCGCCAGATGGATTTAATGCACTTCGTAGACACATTTTTTAAAATACCTCCACTTGGTTTCAATGAAGTGGGAGCGTCCACTTCATGGCAACGAAATGTCAAATAGTCTGACGGTATGTTAGAGCAACATATCGTCTATTAATTATGATTTTACATCTCTGTACATTGGAAATCATAAGTATTCCACATATTTTATCTTTTTTTTTATTTAGTAACTTAACAGTGTCCTATTTTTTTAATCTTATAAATACGTTTTTTACTTTGTAAGAAAAGATTTTTTGGTTAATTCAGTCAGTATTTTATACAGCTGGCACAAAAAATAGTTAAAATTTAATGGTGTAATGCTTTCTAAATGTATGATGTTGTAAAAAGATATTTATTTGCTAATGTTAATGGAAATATTCTTTTGATATGGGAAAACACAGATTTTCAAGAAAATAGCCACTTATCAATTAATCATTACTCCATTGATAAGATCAATCAACTGTAGATGAATTAATTAATTGATAACTTCTCGAAATAAGTAAATATGTCTTAAATTAAGTGTATTTACCCTTAATTTGAGTCGGTAAATGAGATAGTTTGCCAATGGAATGAGTATATTTACTCTTAAAATAAGATAATTAGATGATATTTTCTTGAAATAAGACCATGCAATTGTGTTTTCTTTTTTTAAGTGTAAATTGTCTTGTTCCATTGGCAAACTGTCTCTTTTATCTCCTCAGTCCAAGAACAAATGCAATCATTTTAAGAAAAGATGACTTATCTAGATTTCAATTTTTTCCAGTGTGGTAATGTTACTTCCATCCTATGTGACTAATGACAATGATTTTGGTTATTTATATGGTAAATAGATTACTTATTACTCCTTTAGTTGCACACAGATTTAAATATACATTCTGATATTTTATCTTCAGATCCTCGTTTTCACCTTTGCTTTCTAAAGCAGCGGTCCCCAACCTTTTTTGCACTACGGACTGCTATATGTCAGACAATATTTTCACGGACCGGCCGGGGGGGTGGTTAAATACGATCAAGTAAAATGATACGACTGGCATTAAATCAAATACAAACAGCATAAAAATAAAACAACAAGCCGGTCCCATCTAGGCGTAATCGGAGAAAATGACAGACGAAGTGTGCTCCTGATGTCCAGTCTGCTCCGTAGCTTTGTTTTGGTCGCTGAAACCGTAGAAATTATATCGCAATTTTTTATATTTTTCAAAATAAAACATCACTCAGACTCTGCTCGTCGATAAATTATATATATGGATATATATATATATATATCCTTTTTTCTGTGCGGCCCGGTACCAAATGGCCGTCGGACCAGTACCGGTCCGCGGCCCGGTGGTTGGGGACCGCTGATCTACAGTATATCCTCCTTATTGTCAGATCTCCTTTCATTGCTTTGTACCTTTACTGCGTTTATATATGTACCACAAAAAAAGAGAAGAGCTTATTAAGAGCTAAAAAAAAACTAAAAAGAATAATTAAGACATATATATTTGTAGGATTACCTATCCATTTAAAAAGAAATATTAAATGGATATATAACATTTAGACCATTACCTCATGTAAACAGTGAAATATATTTTCAGTAACTCAGTTTACTAAATGAAATGTATTATATCGACGAATCACATACAGACTAATAATGTTCTGTTTATAGATAAGAAATGCATCTTTTTATTTATTAAATACAGTTGAAAAGGTTGGGAATAGCATAAAAGGCTAAAGTATGCCTAACAACACTGAGCACAGATAGACCCAAACGTTCCGTCTGATGGGCTAATTCTGCACTGATTAGAAACTTAAAGATGGTGCAGAAGTCCTTCATGTTGAAGTAACACACAAAGTGAGCTTTTTTCATTATTGGAGCAACAAACCACAGAGATGTTTTCGAAGGAAACTTTATTTTCCATGACATGTTAAAGCTGCTCAGTAGCTCATTCAGGCTGCAGAGAGTTCGACAGAGTGAGACTTTTAGCAAATATCCAAAAGGGTGAACCTTTTGCAGCCTAGTTGCTCCTTTCATCCCTTTGAGCTTTAAACTGCTCTATCATGGATCATGAAGGATGTCTCCGTCTCTCGCTACATCCCTGCTCTTAATCCAAGAAGAAGAACGAATCGCTAACGAGAAAAACTCCAGGGAAAAGTGCTTTCAATGCCGTTTATTGAGCTATAGTTCCTACAGACAGATCTAAATATTTTCAAATCGGCATCTGCAGCTCTTACAGCTGCAGCTCTTACAGCTGATGCAAACCATAAATCACAGGGCCTGCCTAAAGCTTATTTCCTTTCATTGACCAATTCATATCAACAAAAGCAGCTGAATAGGAGATTTTTTGTAAAAGAAAATTTAACCATGTGAAGCTAAAACTATGCAACAAGTAGCAATAATTCAAATTAAGGTATCTGGAAAGGAGGTGAAAAATGTGCAGTATTCCTAATTCCTAATTAAGGTAGCAATGGTGCCTTGCAGCAAGAAGGTTCTGGGTTCGATTCCTGGCCTGGGGTCTTTCTGCACAGAGCTTGCATGTTCTCTCTGAGCATGCGTGGCTTTTCTCCGGGTACTCCGGCTTCCTCCCACAGTCCAAAAGCATGACTGTTAGGTTAATTGGCTTCTTTAAATTCTCCTTAGGTGTGAGTGTGTGCGTGAATAGTTGTTTGTCCTGTGCTGCCCTGCGACTGGCGACCTGGCCAGGGTGGACCCTGACAGCTGGAGATAGGCACCAGCACCCCTGTGACCCCGTTGGGATTAAGCGTGTTTGAAAATGGATGGATGGATTTTTCTAGTGATTTTAATCACGATAAAACGGTTTAGCCCTAATATAAACTCAGTTCTTAATTCAAATTCCTTCTGCATTCATTTTAGGAGCCAAAATTGTTTCAGTGGCGTTCAGGTCAGAACAGTTTGCTTGTTATTCATCACAGTGACAAAAAAACAGCAGCAGATGATGTTGCTCCTCAAATCATCACAGACTGTATGATAAACTCACTGGACATCAAGCAGCTTGGATTCTAATCCTCTGTGCTCTTTTTTAGACACAATTTCCGAAAGAATTATCAAACATAAAGTCTCTTTTTTACAATAATCTCCCTAAGAACTACTGAGTGGGACTGGTGCACTTTTTTTCTGTCTTCATGCACCGATGGGGCTGACATCAGCTCCCCCTATGTTACACCCTGACCCATCAGCTGACTGCTATAATGGGCTGAGGGATTGATGACGTACTGTTTGTGGGATTAGCAGGATTTAAATGTATAAACAAGACCCACAATATTATTAACAAAAAAGCATTAGAAGGTGGTGGAGAAGCATGACGCTGCGCCGACATTATTAAACACTGACGCCTTTGGACTGACTTCCACACTGGCTCTCTGAGCAAGAATCTTAACCCCACACTGCTCCCTGGGAGCCGCACAATGGCAGCCCACTGCTCCCCAAGCGGATGGGTTAAATGCAGATAGCGAATTTCGTTTCTCTGTACTTGTGACAGTGTAATGACAGTAAAACGCTGAAAAGAAATAAAGTCAACATTCATATCCAGCCTTCATAGGTATGTTTAGCGATTTGTTGCAGCCTTGATGCTCTTCAGCATGTTTTCATTTTTCCCGTAGGCGAAATAAATGATCTCTAAGCACTGAAAAAAGCATAACTAACAGCCACATTTGGTCATCCATGCGCTCTGAAATCATCCTTTACCAGGCCCAGTATTAAATGTTAACCTGATCACCAATTTAATGTGATTTCCATTTCTTTAATTCGTCAACACAAAGATAGCGTGCACTGATTTGTTTCCTGTTATGCACACGTTAGCTACGTTCAGGAAGTACAAGCACACACTGCCAAACTAACCAGTGTATTCTCATTATCAGTTCGTATGAAATCGTACGAAAAGTTATGCACAGTAATTTCGTATGTTTTTGACGTTTTTTTCGTGGTATTTCGTCGTATTTTTACGTCTTGCCTCGAGACAAGATATCCTTGCGCATGCGCATCTAACGAACCATTCAATAAAATAGAATTTAACATACAATTAACCCTAACCCTGACCCTAACCCTAAGATACAAAACAGCAAGCAACGTAGTTAGAGATATCAAGAAGTAATTATTGCACTGTTTTTCCCAGTTTCACATCCGTCCGCGGATCTGCTTTTTTCGTCTGTCTGGCTGCGCATGCGCACTGATCTATTTTTTGGAAGAAAAACGTCAAAAACATACGAAATACTGTGAATAACTTTTCATACGATTTCATACGAACTTATAATGAGAATATGTTGAACTAACAGAGAATAATGAATGCAGTCACTATTTTTATTGCTATCTTCAAAAAACTTTCCAGCTTATTCTTTCTAATTTAACAACTTTCCAGGATTTCAGGGATCTCTGGGAAGCCTGTATCTCTTTACACAGCTAGGGCGCTTCTGAAGAGGTATTTAATTCAAACATGGATTAACAATGTTTAATCATTAAATGCTCTCATCAGATATTACCCATGCACCTCTTTCTGATGCAGTTTTTCCTTCCACTAAATTTTACAGTTAGTATGTAGAGCTGAACTGCCAGCATCCTTAGCAATGACCTTTTGTTGCTTTTTTTTAAATAACACCCACATTAAATTAGTTAAACTTGAAGATCCCACAAGATGTAATGTAGAACTTACTAACATTAGGGAAATAATTAGAATTAGTTTCTTTTAATTAAATTATAAGGCATGAAGTACCTAATAATCTGATACATAAGCTTATTACCTTTGAATGATTCAAAGTGTTATACTTGTTAAAAATCAAACACCAAATCATAGATTTCGCAGCTTAACTCATGGTGCCACAATCAGATGCTGTAAATTCCATAAAAATCAGCATCGTATTCAGCTCTTTTTTTTATTTTTATTTTTTTTTAATGAATGAATAGGAATTCATTTCAGACAATTTTTGACAAATACATTTTGACAAATATCAATAAATATGGGGAGTTGTGGCCTAGCGGTTAGGGCATAGAGCTTAGAATCCTGAGGTTCTGAGTTCGAGCCCCACTCCCACAGACTGCCACTCTGGATCCCTGAGTAAGACCCTTAAACCACACACTAATTTTGAAATTAAACTTGTCTAAGTTATTCTTGTAATGTTACGACTTTATTCTAGGAATTTTATGACTTTATTCTCATAATGTTACGACTTTATTCTCAAAATGTTCAACTTTGTTCTCGTACTGTTACGACTTTATTCTCAAAATGTTACGAATTTATTCTAGTAATTCTATGACTTTATTCTCAAAATATTACAACTTTATTCTCGTAATGTTACGACTTTATTCTCAAAATGTTACGACTTTATTCTCGTAATGTTACAACTTTATTCTCAAAATATTACAACTTTATTCTCGTAATGTTACGACTTTATTCTCAAAATGTTACAACTTTATTCTCGTAATGTACGACTTTATTCTCAAAATGTTACAACTTTATTCTCGTAATGTTACGACTTGATTCTCAAAATGTTATGACTTTATTCTTGTAATGTTACAACTTTATTCTCAAAATGTTACTTTATTCTAGTAATTTTATGACTTTATTCTCGTCATGATATGACTATATTCTCGTAATTTTACAACTTTACTCTTGTAATATTACGACTTTATTCTAGTAATTTTATGACTTTATTCTCATGATATTACAACTTTATTCTCATGATTTTATAACTTTATTTTTGTATTCTCTAATTTTATAACTATTCTCGTCGCGACTTCCATCATAATTTTAGGACTTTATTCTCCTAATATTATGACTATTATGACTTTATTATCAAAAATAAATAAATCTCTAGCCTGGCCCTAATACTCCGTCGTAGTAATGACAATAAAAAAGCTGGAAAAACAATAAATGAATCAACCAAATACGCACAAAAGAGACTATTTAAGATCAATCAAACAAAACTAACTAAATTCACCTGAACATAAAATAGAATCAAACCAAATAAACCTGTCAGTATAAACAGCCAGAGAAATGACATATATTAATGGAAATTGTCTGAAAGCGGTAAGAAGTAAAGCTTATTTATTCCTATATTTATTATAGCTCTTTATAGTTCAGTAAACCAATGCAAGCCGATTGTTTATTAGACAGAAAGTTGCATTTTTATTTATTGGGCTGCATGTAAAGTGAACTGAAAGCATGTAATCTAAGCTCACAGGAGACCATGCTGTGTGTAACCAGCTCGGCGTGGCGCTGCTTGTAGCCGTCAACACATGCCAGTCAGTCAGTTTATTTATTTTGATGCAGGGCACTTTATTTTAATTACACTCTATGCACATTAATTATTTATAATTACAGCTTATTAAAGTAATGTAACCCCTCCTGCTTCAATAAATGTTTGCCCCTAACCAAAATGAGGCTGTCAGACAGCTGCCCCCATGGAGTAGCTAGTTAGCTAAGTGGCTCAAACTAGCATGCTATGCTAACAACAGTGTAGCTACAGCGTCATACCTACTAGTGCTAGCACTCCCATCACACGGTATCCTCTGTTCACTTTAACGTTAAAGTCAGACCATGTTGTCGCTTTAGTCCATTGCAGGGCGGCTCCTTGCAGCGAAGAGCATAACTACGGTGAGGTTATAACGTTAAAGCTAAAACCCGCCGGTAAGAAGCCAGCAACGGCGGAGCGACCCGCCATGCTGAAATGGTCTGCTGCTTTATTTACCGGCGGCTGTTAGTGACGCGGAAAATATACATAAAGTGATGTAGTTAGGGCTTAATAAGTATTTTCTAGTATCTCTAATGTTTTCTTCAATGGCACCTACATAAGGTTAACAAAAATAAAGCTCAACGTGTTTATACAAACAATAAAGCATAGTTTCATGTAAAAAAAATGTTAAAAAATTTACATATATATAATAAAAATGAATATAGGATAAATATATACAATTATTTGAATCAAAGGACCAGCTTTAATAAGTAGATCATGAATCAGTCATAACAGTCTGGCTTCCCATCCCCCACTACACCTCATTTTTCCTTGGCAAGTCACCGCTAGTGGATTAATCACCCCCCCACCCGTCAACAACAAGCTTACATCATCATTGCTATTGGATTTAACACTGATTTGTTTTTTCTTGGCTGCTCTCATGCTGATGATCATATCTGTTTGCCAATGTTGTATCTCATCGTAACAAATGTTTTCTCACATTCCAGTAGTTTTAAAGATTTAGCTGGGGTCCAACATGGGGCCGGTGTTTTTGTTCATTGGGACTGTAAACAAATGCATGAAAACAACAACAACAAAAAAGAAACAAACAATAAACAGCACAATAATTCATTATTTGAAATGTAAGTGCCCCTTGAACCCATGGACATCAGATAAACTTAAGTCTGTCTCAATATGATAGAAGCTAAATGTGGAACAACTGAAGGTTTATATAATTACCTCATTACTATTATGAACCTAAAACAAAAAAAGAAAATGAAAAAATTGAATTGGTCCAAGGATCTAATCAGTTACGGCTTCCATGCCACCACATATCATAATTAGACATTTATTTTGTATTTTGTATCTAGTACAGGGGCCAGAGGGGCACAGGCTTCTGTTGGACCCCTGTCTTAAATCGCTTAATTTTAAAGATATTTTCAAGTGGATTTTTTTTTTTATACTAAGATACCAAATGACATTAAAAACCAAAAAAAAAAAAGACAAGTTCTTTGAACAGGCAAATATTTTATAAGGCACGCTGAATTAAAAAAAGCTGTTCATTGTAGGGAACGAGGAGTGCCAACACACTACAAATGCACAATGTGTGGCAATTGTAAAATGTATTGCAAAAATAAAAATTAGAGTAGCCAACACAATACCTAGATGAACTCGCAAAACACATACGAATGAAAATGCTGGAAAAAAAGAAACAAACACAGTGACCTGTCTGGCATTGTGGCAATAAGAATAACTGTCTTTATGCCAAAAAAGAGACCAACAGATTTTACTTTCACAAGTGGAGCAGTACGGCTATCGCCATAGTGTTCTGCTTGATTTATGCATATAAATTGCTTTATTACAATTATGCAGGGAGTTTTACAGATTATATGCACACTGCAATGTAAGTAGAACTGGAAAGGAAAATCAGAAAAAAAGAAGAAAGAGGAGATAAAAGGGAGATCACGATAAAACATCCTCTGTCTGCTTCATCACCTGCAGAGAGATGTAAAAAGAACAGTACAACCAACAGACATGGTGCGAGACATACAATAAAGTAACACCTAGATACTATTGCTTAAGTATAAGTAGTATTATTTAATCTGACATGTATACTCTGGTAGCTGAAGGTAAGAATATGGGCTTCCTGTTAATGAAATAAATGTTAACAAATGAAAAAAAAAAAAACAAAAAAAAACAGGAATAGTTTCATACTATCTCTGTATAACAGTAGTACTTTAGACTCCAGACCACTAGGGGGAGGGGATCAGTAACTCATATGTGACCAAACTCTTAGGGAAAACATAAACAAGATTGGATAAGCTGCCCAGTTTCTGCATTTGAATCTGCCGGTGTAGGTACCAGATTGACTCGGGCTGCCAGATTGACTCGGGGGCCTGCGCCTATGCTGAGATGCGTCAGAGCGTCCGCCATCTTAAATGTGGCAAATCTGCAGTTTCTCAGTCACTTAAACAGTATCAGAGGGACTTTAATCTCTGAATATACTTTGTATTCGTAGTATTTTTGTTTTTGTAATATTACAAGTTTATTTTTTGTATCCCTTTAGCTTCATTCTCCTGAATTTATTGTCGTTACAAATGCAGACCGCGGGCTCAATGTAGTTTGTTTGAGTGGCGTTGCCATAATGTGACGTCATCGGGAGGCGCAAGGCCCATGGCGAATTTCTTCGTAAAATTGTCCTTTTAAAAACCGCAATCCTGCTTTCGAATAAAACCTACACCCCGCTATAATTACTTTAGTAAGCTGTCCAGACCAATCAAAATGTTTTGCGCAATTGTGCAAACGTTAAAACAATTATGTATTGTGACGTCATCAAAAGGCGCAGGCCCCCCGAGTCAATCTGGCAGCCCGAGTCAATCTGGTACCTACACCGGCTTCGTTCTCCAGTGGCCAGATTAATCGGCCGATTTTCGCCCTTTCAAATGTCCTTTTTTTCCTTCATAGGCTAGGGTATCCGGGGATTCATTGCGAGTCCAAGCATGCAGTGGTGTATATTCTAAGTGCAGTTTAATACACTGCTCATAATTGTAAAGGGAAAACCCAAATAACACATCCTAGATCTGAATGAATGAAATATTCTCATAGAATACTTAGACTTAGACTGACTTTATGCAAGATGATGCATAAAGTGCAGCAGTGATCAATAATGTAAACAGTGTAGGAGATGTGTTGCTATGGAAAGTTCCAGTGGGGTGCAAAATAAATAAATATGGTGCAAAATGTAGTAGAACATTGAGTTGTGTTCTAGTTAAAACGATTATAAAAAATCAGCTACGTTTGTAGTGCAAATGTGATGTTGCAAGTGTGATGAAGAGCCTGGATTGGAGTTTCAACAGTTTAACAGTCTGATGGCAGCAGGGAAAAAGCTGTTCCAGAACCTGCTGGTCCTGCTGCAGATGCTGCAAAGCAGCAGGGAGAACGGCCCATGGTGGGGGTGTGAGGGGTCATTGATGATGTTACGGGCTCGGGACACGCAACGCTGGGATGAAATGTCCATTATGGAGAGAAGAGTAGCCCCGATGATCTTCTCTGCTGTTCTCACTCTTCTCACCTTCTTCCAGTCTGAGGCGCTGCAGCCTCCACACCACACAGTGAGACAGCTGGTCAGAACGCTCTCTATGGTGCTTCTGTAGAAGGTGGGGAGGATGGAAGATGGAGTGCTGTTCAGTGCCTCAAACCTTCCAAAGAAGTCACGGTCAGCTACACATAGTTTTTCCTCTCCACTGTCGCTGCAAGCATGCTCAGTGTCAACAACTCAATCCGAACAAATGTCTACTGTTGCCACAAGCTCAACCAGTAGGAACGAACCCTGCAAGTCAATGACTGGATGTAATCAGCGGATTTTCCATAAATAGAAAATGTTTAACTAACATGATTTCACGAGCTGATTGAAGTGTCCTTGTAAAGTGCCTTGACAGGACATGTGTCAAGTAAACTGAATTGAAGTAAGGGCCAATTAGCTTTGGCTTTTAAAGTTTAAATGCAAAAATTCTACAGAAAGCACAGAAATATGAATGAATTTGAACCCCAGTCGGCCTCAGCAGATGGCCGCTCACACTGAGCCTGGTTCTGCTGGAGGTTTCTTCCTGTTAAAAGGGAGTTTTTCCTCTCCACTGTCGCTACAAGCATGCTTAGTGTGAGGGATTGCATTCGAGTCAATGAGTCGATGCAATCAACTGGTTTTCCTTAGATAGAAAACTTTGTATCAATTTGACTGGATGATCTGGTTAAACTGTAAAGTGCCTTGAGATGACATGTGTTGTGAATTTGGCGCTATAGAAATAAACTGAATTGAATTGAATATGCCCTAATTTCCCCTAAAGGTGTTTTATGAAGTCTATTATTGTGACCCTAATGTCAAAACTCATGTTTCACATATTATTTTCTCAAGCTACCAAGCAAAGTGGAGGCCAGCTTCACTTCTTTTGATTGACACCAATGTCAACAAACTTTTTCCACCTATGGTCACTTAAAGGAATAGTACACCCAAAACATGATTAGCCTTCATTTTCTACTCACCCCCATGCTGAACAACACTCTGGAGTACTTTTTTGATATCTCAAATGCATCTGGAGATCTGGGAGGCTTCTTGCTGTCTGCTGACATTCAAATAATGGAGGTCTATGGCGCCCGAGACAGATAGGTCCATAAAAGTCCACAAAAAACGTGTCAATATTCCTCCATACTGCTCGTCCAATGTATTCCAAGTGTCCTGAGTGGGTAGCATCCAGAATTTACTCGAAACGAAGTCATTTAGAATGTTTTTAGAGCATAAACAGTAGTGTATAGGATTTCCTGAAAGCGCGCTCACGACACTACGGAAGCCGGCAGACCAAGCCAGATGAAAGTGCGCATTCAGTGTCTGCTCTGCCAATAATGCAAGCGTAGAAGAAGAAATGTGCTGTTTACCTGTGCAAAGAAAGAAACAACGAAAGAAAAATTTCTGAGGACTTCAGTGTTGAGGAAGAGCATGAGTTCTTTGCCGAGCTGAATGCGCTGGTTTGGTCTGCCGGCTTCCGTAGCGTCGTGAGCGCGCATCTGCGCGCTTTCAGGAAATCCTATACACTACTGTTTATGCTCTAAAAACATTCTAAATGACTTTGTTTCGAGTAAATTCTGGATGCTACCCACTCAGGACACTTGGAATACATTGGACGAGCAGTATGGAGGAATATTGACACGTTTTTTGTGGACTTTTATGGACCTTTCTGTCTCGGGCGCCATAGACCTCCATTATTTGAATGTCAGCAGACAGCAAGAAGCCTCCCAGATCTCCAGATGCATTTGAGATATCAAAAAAGTACTCCAGAGTGTTGTTCAGCATGGGGGTGAGTAGAAAATGAAGGCTAATCATGTTTTGGGTGTACTATTCCTTTAAGAACCAGTCACATCAGTAAATAATATTGTTAATAATATTTGAAATACTAATAGAGAACAAAAACATCAGGCTCTCCGCTTAGAAAATCCAATTTTGTGTTTTATTTTGATCAG